TAGAAACTCGAAGAATTAGTTAAGATGTACGTAAACTGACCGGAAAAAAAAAAAAAAAAGGGTATCTACGTTAAAAACAGTTGTAATCAATGTTAATTAATTATGATAAGTTATGGTGCATATGTGATGTAAGTGTTGCGGAATAAAATAAAGTAAAGAATAACACAGTGGGATTAAAGAATTGACTTTATAATAGTATCCAAGTTGGGAGAAAAAAAAAATATATATGTATATATGATATCAATGGGAAAGCTTGGAGGCAAATTCATTAATTGCATTCACTTCTTTCAATCCTATAAATGATATAAAGACACAACACAAATCAATAAAATATTAATAAGAAAACAGCTCTCTCGTTCTCTCTCTGGAGACAACAAACCAAACCTCAGTCATTCACAGATTACAATGTGGGCTTAGGTTTAACTTTGACCTTCCTTCGTATATCATAACTTAGCTGCTTATTGCTATTTGGCTTGGCTAAACAATTAGCAACCCCAAGCCGATTCTTTGTTTTTTATTTTCATTTTTCTTTAATTAAATAATTCCATGATTTCATCTCAAATATTTTATAACTAATATAATATAAAATGAGTAAGCAATGAATTCACTGAAATTATATCTTTTATTGTATTCTTACCGTCAGAATAAATGTTTATATTGTATAAGAATTATGACGTCTATATATGATAAGAGTCTAGTGATTACTCTTATTAATGCTTAGAGAGATTCGAACTCAAAAGTTCTTGAATTCCCATTTTACTCTTTTATTATGTTTTAGTATAGAGTTATGGAAATTAACTTCGTTCGGATTTAAAAAAATGGTTCATTTCATTGAAAATTCTTGGTTAATCAACAAATTAAAATATTAGTGTATAAGATAATCGGATGCAAATAAAATGGTAATAAAAAAAAAAAGGGAGGAAAAAGAGAAAATATTGATGACAACAAGACTAGTACTTTTTGATATATGAAGGAAAAATTCAAAAGAAATGAAATTTAGCTTTAGTATTTCTAATAGTATTTAACATGTTAGTCCATTTTTTTTTTTAAAAAAAAAAAAAAAAAATTATCTTCAAAGAATAATAAAATTGCCATCGTAAAATATTGACCCGCATCTTACAGACGCCGTTATGGATCAATTAATTTAATTGAGTGTTCTTTTAAAAAAAAAAATTGACACGCATCTATGCGAGTGTTATTTATTTAGTAATATAAAATTAAAGAGACGTGTTTGGGAAAAAAAAAAAAAACAACAGTTAGGTATATTTTAAAGATAAACAATTGTAGCTATAGGATTTATTAATATCAAATTGCAGTTAATTAATTAAATTAAGAACATTAGGACTATTAGGTGAAAGTTACTGTAATGAAGACTAGCAGTTTTTATCATCTTTCAAGTCTAATAAATTAAATAATTGGGACATTAACCCACTACCTTTGGCCATATGATCAATTAATTGATTCTACTATTGGAAATGAATTATGTTAGTTTAATTGACTAAATTAGTAGCCCCTAATTAGTTAATTAATTAATTAATTAATGCTATAATTTCAAAAATAAAAAATAAAAAAATTTGACTTTTTCTAGAAGCACTTATGTGGTTCAAATTCGCTTCTTTTCAAACCGCCCTCAGCATGCGATAGGTCATTTTTATGGGTGGTTGCTTCTTACGGGGTTTAATTTCTTATCCAAATTGAGAGTTAATAAATCTTTGAGGTCCATGATTGAAAGCTACGGGACTATACATAAGAGCTACCAATTTTTTGTTAAAATTAAATTTAAGAAAGTTCAAATGTGAGTAATTTTTACTTAATTGGGAACGAACTTTTGTTAAGAAAAGTTCAATTAGGGTTTGTTTGGTAGAGTTTTTTGTTTTTAACGTATCTGGGGTATCTAAGCTCATATTAGAGATTGTCTAATCTTTAAGGTTGTGGAATACCTTATAAGTTGAATGGATTAAGGTAACTGTACAAATGTAGTAGGTATCTCTCTTTGCTACTCAAACACAGTACCCCTTGGTTATAACTAACGCCAGTAGCTAAGGGGTTTACCATCCGGTCACAAAGAGAGAGATTAGAGCTTACTTAAGTAGAAACTTAATTGGGTATAGAGTAGAACTTTTATGAAAAAAAAAATTATTAATTATCTGATTAGAAAAATGTAAAAGAGTTTTGTAGGGTATGTTTGACTTATTATTTTTATCCATATTCCCAATCCTATTCTCCAAATAATGTTTGACACATTATTCCAGAAATATTACCCTATTTTTTTAATTACTTTTAGACCCCATAAGATTATTAATTTCATCAAATACACCCTGAAAAAAGTTTAAAAATTATCAAAAACACCCACATGACCCATACTTGCCAGATTCCGGCAACCACCATTGGTGGTAGCTGGAATCTGTTCAAGGGCCTGCCTGTCGACCAGAAATGACTGAAAGTTCACTAATCTGGCCTTGAACGACGGCCAAAGAAATGGCCGTCGTTGAGGTCAACGACGGCCAAATCTTGGCCATCGTTGACCGAAAACGATGGCCAGATCTTTGGCTGTTGCTGACGACCAAAGATGGCCATCGTTTTGACATTTTTCGGCCGTCGCGGCCACAACAGGCCGTAGATCTGACCTTTTCTGGCCAGATCCGTGGTGGATCTGGTCGGAAAAGGCCATAACTACGCGCTATGACATAGATCCGACTGGTCTGTGTCGTAACACGATTTTCTGACCAGATTTCGACGGTGGTGGCCGGAATCTGGCACTGCAGGTGGTGGGGGTGTTTTTGTCATTTTATATATTAGGGTATTTAATTAAACTAGCAAACCTAGGGGCTTTTTCATAAATTTTTAAATTTTACCTCGTAATACTCCCCTATCCAACTACCTAATATTATTTTCAAAATCATATCCAAAATAACAAACCAAACGCACCCGTAGATTTTAAATAACAAAAAAAAAAAAAAAGTTTTAATATCATGAAATATCAAGTCAAATTTATCAATAACATGGGGATATTTTTAATATTTTAACGCTTTAAATAAACTTAAAATTTGCTTATAGAAAAAAACTCTTTTTATTTTTTCTATTTAGAATTTTTTTATATTTTTCATTATTAAATTAAATAGATATTTAAAAATTCCTTAATTGTTTTGCTTAAGAAGGGTTGTGTAATACTCTATAGAAATGCTTTTGATCATATTTTAAATTTATATATATATATATATATATATATAAGGTATTTCTTTTAATATGTAATAAATGCAATTAAAGTTAAAATCTTTTAGTTTCAATTCTAAATAATTATTCATAGGAATAATTGGATAAGGTCGGTGGAGTGATTCCAAATTTAGGGTAATTAAAAGTAACGTAGTGTGAAAAGTGATAGAGCAAACTTAATCATCCTAAGGCAGTGTTTGGACGGCTCAAATAATTAAATAGAAACCACTTCAATCAGAATAACTTGAAGACTATATAGCTAGCCATTTCCTTCTCTAAATCCAAGGTTTGACAAAACCTTGGCCTAGGTTAGACAATCAAATAATTAAATTCATACCCATAATATATTTATTATGCATTCAAATTTGGATTTTATCATTGTTAAATTTTGAGAAAAGAAAATACTATTAGTATAGACAAGGTTACTGGATCAACAACATCAACGCTCTTTGAGGTTTCAAAGTTTCACGGGCGTTAGAAAAAAACATTAGGTCAACTCTTACACCATCCCAAACTTAGTGAAGTTAGGGCATAAATAATTAACAAATCAATATATTTTATTTGTAAGGTCTACTTTGACCTTGTTATTCGATTTAGTTCACAATCTTACATTTTGACTTAAATACTTATGAAAATGAAAACAAAATAAAAACAAAAGTAAACTATATATTATCTCCTTATTAATTAAATTATTCTTTAATGTACGATATACAAGAATATATTTTTTTTGTGAATAAATAAATAAAATAATGATTATTTGATTAACCTTTCCACATTATCAAATACTAAAACTTGTAAAACCAATCACTATATCTTTCCTCAAATTATCACCACCGCCCTCATTCTCCTTTTTTTTTTTTCTTCTAATGTTTGTCTTTGAGGTTTAATCCATAGTTGCTGGTTATTGTCGTTTGGCTTGGATTGTGTGGATTTGTTTGTTAGCAAGAGATAAAAGATAGCGAATATATAAACTTTTTAATTTAGATTTTTTAAAGGTAAGAGATAGCTTTTTACATATAGATACCATTGAACAAGTTTTGAACTTTTTTTTTTTTCCTGTTTCTCCATTACTTTGAAGTATTTTTACTAAACTAACATCACTCATAGCTAAATTTACCCTAACGTCACTCACAGTTTGAGGTGTAGGTGTTGACCTAATGCTCTTGTCTATGCGCCAATAAAATATTGAAACCTCATGGGGTGTTAACAGTGATACTACACTCGAAAACTCTGCTTACTAACTCTCTCTCAGAAACGCGACATGTTAATTTGTAATTGGTTAGTTCGTAATAGGTCATGTCTGTCCAACAATAAGTCCTGCCTGATCAAATACGAATTGGCCAATTATGAACTGCCACGTCAATGTTTATGAAAGAAGTTGTGAGAAATGTTTGTTTACCTATCTTTATTAAGGTGTTAATGTTGTTAACCTCTAAGGTTATCTTACCATACCAAAGAAAAGCAATTAAAACTTTGTAGCCAAACATGTCCCTAACATTAATGGGGCAAGCCACAAGGCGCGCTGGCTAGCTAGCTCAAGCTAACTTAGCTTAGCCACCAATAGGTATTATATAAACTGAAAATACCGTTGGAGAGCTCGATATTTCAACTGTTTAAAAGTTAGTTGAGTCGTCACATTTCCACTCTCAATATCTAACAGTCAACCCCTACCGGCCCTTTTTTCTTTTCTTTCTATCCAAACAAACACTTAATCAGCAGCAGGAGGAGCAGCAGCAGCATGAGCAAAAAGAAAAAAAAAAAATTTTAATTTACTTTTCTTTATTTCTTTCTTTCTACTCTTTTAGAGTTCATTTTGTTTTATATCCTTAAATCAACCTTACCCCACAATCTCTCTCTCTCTCTCTCTCTCTCTGTCTCTCTCTCTCTTCTGTCCTCCATTTTTCGCTCCTTAAAACAACCATTTCATCACCTAAATCCAACCCTCTTATTGCCATGGGCGTGGACATGTCTAACAACCCACCAACTTCTCGTACCAAAGACTTCTTCGCTTCTCCTGCTCTTTCCCTCAGTCTCGTAAGTAAATTCATCTCTACTTTAATTAACCCACCACCAATCTTTTCTTCTTTTATGTGTCATGTATCTCTTGTTTAATTTGTACTTAACGTGTTTTGTTTTTTCGAAAAGGCTGGCATATTTCGCGATGCGGGTGCTGCTGCTTCCCCAGCCAATACTCATGACCAGGTAGAGGAAGGAGATGAAGGAAGCGGAGGCGGAGGATCGAGAAGAGAAGAAACAGTGGAGATTAGTAGCGAAAACTCAGGCCCCGGAAGATCAAGATCAGACGATGAGTTCGATGGAGGCGAAAACGATGAAGATGATGATGGAGATAAGAACAAGAAGAAGAAGAGGAAGAAGTATCATCGTCACACTGCTGAACAAATCAGAGAAATGGAAGCGTATGTTTCTCTTTTCTTTCTCTCTTTAATTCTTCTTCTTCTTCTTCTTCTACGTACTCGTTTTTGTTTGTATTTATCTGCATACGTAAATTTATATGTATTTGTCTCTCTGTGTTTATACTATACTTCAATGCATTGATTCAACAAGGTTTAATTGATTAATTTAAGCATTAACTTCAATGAATAATACCTTTAATTACATGTACGATGTACTTTAAAAAAAAAAAATATAGTAATTGATTTAAACAAAAGTTAGTGACTTAAAGGTAAAACTAAAGGGAGATAGATGACTCAGAATTTTATGATAAACTTTGACATACAGCTTGCTTTTTACTTTGTTTTTACATGGAAAATGGGAATCTCAATACAAAGTTTCCTTAACAAAAGCATTGTCTTTTTATATCTAAGTGATGTATTTTCAGTCTGCATTTTTTTTTTTCAAATCTCATTTGTCATTAATGGTGGTTTTGAATATTATTTTGTTCTTTATGACTTTAATTTATTTAATTACAGGCTTTTCAAGGAGTCTCCACATCCTGATGAGAAGCAAAGGCAGCAACTGAGCAAACAATTAGGCCTTGCTCCTAGACAAGTCAAGTTTTGGTTCCAAAATCGTCGAACACAAATCAAAGTAAATAAAATAAGCTATTTCTGTTTAATTTTAGTAAAAAATTTGTCAATTTTTCATGGTTAATCATTGGGGAAAATAATAATTTCAGGCTATACAAGAACGCCATGAAAATTCATTGTTGAAAGGCGAAATGGAGAAGCTCCGAGATGAGAACAAAGCCATGAGAGAAGCCATTAACAAAGCTTGTTGTCCCAACTGTGGCACTGCCACTACTAGCAGGGACACTTCCATGACCTCTGAAGAACAACAACTACGTATAGAAAATGCTAAACTCAAANATAATTTAATGACACTTCTAAATAAATAATAATATAAACTTTAAAGAAGTAAAATATTATTTTTGTTTTGCTTTATTTATTTTGTTCTGTCAATTATCATTATATATGGTAAATTCAATTAAAAGTATTGTAAAAAATTTCTAAAACACTTTAAAAATGTATATAGGTTTTTTTTTTTTTTTTTTTCCCTATAATTGAACATTTGAACCAATTTGTGCACACTTCAGCTGTTCAACTAATCCCTCGAGACTTTAAAACGATCAATCGAATAAAAACTTTTACACAAAATTTTAGTTACTCCACGTTAACTTACTCCACATTAAGATGCTTCTACTTGATTTACGGTGTTTGGAAGCTTTAACACAAAAAGCACTTTTGAATAAAAATCTTTTTTTTTTTTTTCTTACAAAAATATCCCCAATACTCTTTAAAAAAGCATCTACAGAAAAAAGTCATCTTCACTCTCATAAAAGTCATTTAAACCAAACATTATGTATACAATATATATTTAATATCTATAAATACTTTTTTTTTTTAACTAAGATGTCCAAAGCCTCTGATCAGTTTACGTTAGCGTTGGGTATTTGGGATCGGGTTCAAAAACCTGGCCCAAAAATCCGCTCTTAATATCAATCCTAGTAAGCTTGGTCCCAAAACGGGACTAGGCCTAAGGAGGAGGGTTGGTCCCTTCATTGGGCCCTCCTCCAAGGCCCGGGCTTGGATTGGGCCCAAACTCTTTTGGTTTATTTTTTTAGCCCATTGGACAATTACAAAACCCCCTATAAATTTTCAAAATAGACAAAAATTATAAGGGTTAAAATAAGATTTTACAAAATTAAAAAAAACATAATAAAAAATTTGCATTTAATAACCGTTGGCTATTTTTTTTATTGGGGGGTGGGGGTTGAGGAGGTTTTTTTTTTTTTTCATTTTCCCCCAATGCTACATTATAAATATTCCCTAAAATTTCTCATTTTTTCCACACCACTCAATCTCTCTACTCTCAACTCCAATCAAATTCTCATTCAATTTATATTTATATTTATANGAGCGACGGCAAGCCAAAACGATCCATTGAAGCCTCAAGAGACACTGGCGTTGTGTTTGTTGATCTTCCCAGGCTTGTTCAAAGTTTCATGGATGTGGTAAAACTATTGATTCTTAACTGTTATTATCTTTAATTTTCTGAATTGGAAAATTCCTATGACCTCCCCTAACCTTTCCTCAATATCAAAAGTACCCTCTCTACTCTTTTCAAAATCTCACCAAACTTTCGTACTGTTATGAAATCTTCTTTAGATTTTACTTGTTAATATGGAAAAAGTTTTCCGTATAATTTGATTCAACAAATCAATGAGAAAATCAAGTGCATTCCATCATGTTGATGTGATGTTTTTTTATTGGCCGGTTATACTATAACATGTTGTATATAATATTTTTTTAACATTTATTTTCTAATTTCATCCCCCCAAATACATTTGTGGCTCCAACCTATTTGAAAATCTAACAAAATCATTAACGAAAAGGACATTAATGATATTTCTTAAAACTAAGGGGTTTTTTTCAATTTAAGAAAAGATTAGGGGAGGTTAAAATTTAGTCCTTATATAATTTAATCCTATCAAAACAAAAACTATGCATACCTTCTTCAAAAATTTTCTCAGGAAAATTTGTCTCTTTGTGTTTGCAGAATCAATGGAAGGCAATGTTTCCAGGCTTAATCTCAAAGGCAGCCACTGTTGATGTTATCTGCAATGGTGAAGGTCCTAGCAGAGATGGCGCAGTGCAGTTGGTGAGTCATAGCTTAAAAACTTTTTCAATGTATCATTACACACAGGCCATTGCGAATCTCATAAAAGAAGAGTCATTTTCCTTCTTTTGGGATAACAACAAAAAACGTTTCTGCGGTCCAACCATGAACTGTGTAGTTCGACTTGGAGTTTTCCCTTTTCTGCATTTTAGCGTTTTTTAATTGTTTTACTTTTTTCCTGTCAAAAGTACTTTTGGGTAAAAGCACTTTTTAACTAAAGTAGTCAAATTCGTTTTACCAGAATCTACCTTTCAACTGTAGTTTTGCATGACACTTGAGTAATTTTTTTTTTTTTTTTTTTTTTTTTTAAAGAGTAACGACATATTTTAGATTTCCACCTTCAAATTAACAGCGTTAATGACGGTTAGAGATAGTCAGAAATGGTGAGTGAGATTATGAAGTAAAAGTATAAGTTTTATAGAGAAGATTATGGAGAGTTTAACAATGGTCTTGGAAGTGATTTTAAACTTTAGAATCGGCCTAAAAAAACCAAAAACAGCCGGTTTAGATGCTATTAACGTGAGTCCTTTTTTGCTAAAATGAGTCTATCTTCTATCAAAAAAAACGCTGATGCATTTTAACGTGCTAACATGCGTCACACAATAGTGAAAAGTTAAGAATTTATTAAAATAAAGAAAACGACGTTACTTTAAAGGTAAAAATCTAGAATAAATGTAATCAAGGTATCAACTTAGGATTTCGCTAAACATCGGATGGGAATATGTCGTTTGCTCTTTTTTTTTTTTAATTTCAAAACTCACTTTCTAATAGTTTATTTTTCAAAATGTGTAACATTTTCACCACATTCACACTTCTAATTTTAAGTTAAAAATAAAAAAATAAAAATTTAAGGCTATGGAATTTTGTATTGTGATGGATGCAGATGTTTGCAGAGCTGCAAATGCTTACACCAATGGTGCCAACAAGAGAAGTTTATTTTGTTAGATTCTGCAAGCAAATAAGTGCTGAACAGTGGGCAATTGTCGATGTCTCCATTGACAAAGTTGAAGAAAACATTGATGCATCTTTAGCCAAATGCAGAAAACGTCCATCTGGTTGCATCATTGAAGATAAATCAAATGGCCACTGTAAGGTACAGTAATTATTTCCATTTATTTATTTTCCCTTAATTATTTTTTCCACCCTAGGTTCGGCGAATCGACATTTTCCCACCCTTAGTTGTGGAAACTATCAACGTTTTAGTCGGTAAATATTGCTAATGTGGAATTGATTTTGGTCAGGCACGGGATAACAACTCGAAAATGAACAAAAAAAGAAAAAATAATAATGTGCAGAGGTGAAAATTAATGGAGTCATGCATTGATTTTGTGTTGTGTGATGAAGATTTATGACATTTATGGTTTGATAAAATGTGCAGGTGATATGGGTGGAACATTTAGAGTGCCAGAAAGCTCCAGTTCACACCATGTATAGGACAATTGTTAGCAGTGGTTTAGCCTTTGGTGCTAGGCATTGGATGGCAACGTTGCAGCTTCAATGTGAAAGGCTTGTCTTCTTCATGGCAACTAACGTTCCCACAAAGGATTCAACTGGTAAGTCAATATCAGTTTCAGAATATTTTGCTTTTGCTTTTGTTTTTTGTTTTTTATATTCTTTTGTCTGTATTTGAGAAAACAACTGAAACCCTTCATTGATCTTTAGGTGTGGCAACACTAGCTGGGAGGAAGAGCATTTTGAAGTTGGCACAGAGAATGACATGGAGCTTTTGTCGTGCCATCGGTGCGTCGAGCTACCATACATGGAGCAAGGTCTCAGGCAAAACTGGAGAAGACATTAGGGTTTCTTCCAGGAAGAACTTGAATGATCCTGGAGAACCTCTTGGAGTGATCTTGTGTGCAGTTTCTTCTTTTTGGTTGCCGGTATCCCCTCATGTTCTGTTCGATTTCTTAAGAGATGAAGCTCGTCGAAATGAGGTATAATCACTTCCAGTTGACAATATCACGATGGTAGATCATCTAATTAATGGTAAAAAGATTGTTAAAGATGATTTTGTTGTGTTAATCTTAGTGGGATATCATGTCAAGTGGAGGTCCTGCACAAGCCATAGCAAACTTGGCCAAGGGGCAAGATCGTGGCAACGCAGTAACAATACAGGTGAGTCTCTCATGTCATTTCTGTGCATTCAACTGTCAGACATAAGAAGTAACACAGAGTTTTCAATTTCAGACAATGAAATCAAAAGAGAACAGCATGTGGGTACTGCAAGATACCTGCACAAATTCATATGAATCAATGGTGGTTTATGTCCTGTAGACATTAATGGCATGCAGTCAGTCATTACCGGATGTGACTCCAGCAACATTGCTGTATTGCCTTCAGGATTCTCAATTCTTCTGATGGACTTGAGACAAGGCCTCTAGTGATTACTTCTAGGCAAGAGGAGAAGAGCACAGAAGGAGGGTCTTTGCTCACAATAGCATTCCAAATCCTGACAAATAGCTCTCCACAGCCAAGCTAACAGTGGAATCTGTGGAATCTGTTAACACACTATATCATGCACCATTGAGAAATTTAAGACAAGCCTACAATGCGAAGACACATGATCACCACAGCTTATAAACTACTAGGTAGACACAAATAATTGTAAAAACATAGGTTTTTCTAAATTTTTTAATCAACTTGTTACGTTTAGCAGACGAGCTGTATTATTCTAGTTGTTTTATTTGTTATTTGATTAGAATGAAGGGCTTGGTGTTCAAGTGATTTGTAATCACCAAAATCTGGAAGGGAGATTTGAGGGAGATGTGTCACAACTTTAAAAGTAGGAAAGTGAGATATTTTCATGTATATACTATTCAATTAATGCCATTTGCAGTTTTTTTGATTGCTAAAATTACTCTATCCTATCAGAAACAGAAAAAAGAAAAAAAGCAAATGGTACTCCATCAGAATCAAGCAATGAAAACATTTTGTGCATATACAAGACATAGCTCCACATTCAAATCTAAATATATCGGCACGCTGCGGTGTTTCATTGGGTTCGAGTTGAAGTAGAGGAAGAATGACTAATTTTGGAAGTTCAATTATATCATATATGCAAAGAAACAAAAATATGCAGCATAGCAATATCACAATCTTAATCTCATAACATCTGAAAAGAATGACAAAAAGCAGCTAAACCACTTTTTATTATCTAAACATGCACCATACACAATCCAAATAGCAACAAAATGAGTGTCTTTTTCCAAGGATAACTTTCAACATCAAAAAAATCAACAAGCAATGAAAAATAGAGAATTCCAATTGACTGCTAGATAGGCAATTTTTCATTCACTAATCAATATCATTAATAAAGCTACTCTACACTTAAAACATCACACAACTTTATGCATCCAGTGTTAAAATATAAGTCTACAAAAACTTCCTGTCAGTCAAAAATTCTTCACATCCTTTCACTCCAGAATTGCAGAGTGGTCACGCTGAGATATTCATTATCACTTAACCTCCTTCATTCAACAACATTTGACGGTAACTAAAACTTGTGTGGCATATACTTAGTCAGTTTGAAAATATTGCAATGACCAGTCCGAGAAAAAGTTTCCAAAAGCGGTCAATTACTGTTATGCAGCATAACATCAAAATCGTGTGTGCATTTTCTCCATTGTCAGGACTACATCAATTCAAAATCTAGTCCATTCATAAGTTTCATTGATCACAAACAAGTTCTCTAATTTGATTCCATTGTCTCATGATCTTCCTTCTGTTCTCTGATTTCAAATTTGGCACTAAAAACATGACTAATTTAACAATTTTTACGCTAAAAACATAACTTTTAACTTAAAACTAATTCTAAGAAATTCAACTAAAAACAAAAATGCATTCCACAAACTTAAATTCAGCCAAAATTTTTTCCAATTTTACTGCCAAAAAGAGACTCACTACTATCAATCACCAGAACCCACTAAAACAAAAGCAATAACTGAAAACATGAAAGATCATTGATAATTTCAACCACCACCAACACCAATTCAACACAAAAAGAAAAAAAAAATGATTTAATGCCCGTCAAATAAAATCCGCATTCAAAGAGTTCCAAACAAACTCAAATCAGAAAAAAAACTCAATCACCAAAACAGACAACCAAAAAACCATATTGAAACAAACCCATTTCATAATTTAAAGGCATTATATGAAATCCACAGTTAAACAGCTTCAAAGCATACCCGCATTCAAACAATTTCACAAAAACTCAATTCAATGAAAATCAAACCCACCAAAAGAATAATCAGAAAACAAAATTGAAACAAACCCATTTGAATGTTCATAACAATGAAATATAATTAACATTTAAACTGTATCAAAGCATTACAAAACCACAACAACTGAACATCAAAACAAGACGCACTAAGCCAGCTGTGCTTGTTCACTCTCTAAAGGAATTCCAACCTCATTATTAACCTTATCTTCTTTCTTGTTCCTAATCCTTGGAGGGAGGGGCACTGCAAGAAAACTCTTCGTCTTGCTGATGGGTTTGGACCTTTCAAGCTGAACAACATCGCCAACTTGGAACTGGTTCTCAGGGTCATGAGCCTGGTACTTCTTCTTCTTTCTAACGCGTCTCTTGTACTTTGGGTGAGGGTCCAAACGCACAACTTCAACAGAAACCGTCTTGTCGTTTGTGGAGCAAACCACTCTGCCTTGCATCTTTTTCATGGCCCTGATTGGTGGGACGAAAAAGGTGGGATTTTGGGGAAGCGAAGAGGGTTTTGAGAGGTAAGAGAGAGGAGTTGAGCCATGGAGGAAGTGGGTTTTGGGCATTGAGAGTGAGAGAGAATGAAGTGATGAAGTTAGAGACATTGTTTTGAAGATAAGAGAGAGAGAAAGTGGAAAGTGTTTTTCTTGTTGTAGCCTGTAGGATTGGTTTTTTTTTTTTCCCTCAAATTTCTTGAATTATTTTCCTCTGTGGGATAAGAAAGAGAGAGAAGAACAAAGAAATATTTTTGACTTTTTGTTTCTGGATTTTTTAGATTTGAGAAAATAATGTTAAGCCTCTAATTTAAGAAATTAAAAATTATTTTTATATACAAAAGGATTATGATAATTTAATGACACTTCTAAATAAATAATAATATAAACTTTAAAGAAGTAAAATATTATTTTTGTTTTGCTTTATTTATTTTGTTCTGTCAATTATCATTATATATGGTAAATTCAATTAAAAGTATTGTAAAAAATTTCTAAAACACTTTAAAAATGTATATAGGTTTTTTTTTTTTTTTTTTTCCCTATAATTGAACATTTGAACCAATTTGTGCACACTTCAGCTGTTCAACTAATCCCTCGAGACTTTAAAACGATCAATCGAATAAAAACTTTTACACAAAATTTTAGTTACTCCACGTTAACTTACTCCACATTAAGATGCTTCTACTTGATTTACGGTGTTTGGAAGCTTTAACACAAAAAGCACTTTTGAATAAAAATCTTTTTTTTTTTTTTCTTACAAAAATATCCCCAATACTCTTTAGAAAAGCATCCACTGAAAAAAGTCATCTTCACTCTCATAAAAGTCATTTAAACCAAACATTATGTATACAATATATATTTAATATCTATAAATACTTTTTTTTTTTAACTAAGATGTCCAAAGCCTCTGATCAGTTTACGTTAGCGTTGGGTATTTGGGATCGGGTTCAAAAACCTGGCCCAAAAATCCGCTCTTAATATCAATCCTAGTAAGCTTGGTCCCAAAACGGGACTAGGCCTAAGGAGGAGGGTTGGTCCCTTCATTGGGCCCTCCTCCAAGGCCCGGGCTTGGATTGGGCCCAAACTCTTTTGGTTTATTTTTTTAGCCCATTGGACAATTACAAAACCCCCTATAAATTTTCAAAATAGACAAAAATTATAAGGGTTAAAATAAGATTTTACAAAATTAAAAAAAACATAATAAAAAATTTGCATTTAATAACCGTTGGCTATTTTTTTTATTGGGGGGTGGGGGTTGAGGAGGTTTTTTTTTTTTTCATTTTCCCCCAATGCTACATTATAAATATTCCCTAAAATTTCTCATTTTTTCCACACCACTCAATCTCTCTACTCTCAACTCCAATCAAATTCTCATTCAATTTATATTTATATTTATAATTTATTTATTGTTGAATACAGAAAATACTCTTTAATCGATAAGGTGATTGAAGTGATAACGTATTTATGTGATTGGACTCATGCAGAGAAAAGATTATAACAGCACCCTGAAGATCCCGAATTACTCGAACTCTTTAGGAATACCGATTTTAATGATTTAAATATTCTTGACGATGAAAATTAATAATTTAATAAAAAAATTATTTAATTGTTTATTTGTGAAACGTGAATGTGTGATGTGTGAATATTACATTTATGTTAAAATTAACCATTAATTTATTTATGATTTTATAAAATTAATTAAACTTTTAAAAACTTACTAATCTACCCCTAAAAATTACATAAACGCCCCTACAGAATTTTATTTCGCCCCTAAAATATAAAAAAGATAGGGTGAACATAAAATTTTGCAAGCCCATAGGACCGGTCCGGGTCCTGAAATTGCTCATGGGCCTGGGATTGGTCCTAGGCCCATGAGCGATTGGTCCCAAACGGGCCCATATTCGGACCCGCTTGGGACCGGTCCTTGACTAGTTTTAGCTTACGTGCATCTCGACTAATTCTCGAATGAAATTAGCACAACAATCCATTACCAAGATCCCACTTTTAAGTATAAAAATACTTCTTTTCAAAAAAAAAAAAACCAGATGTAGTTAAATTTTATTCACCAATTTTTTTGGCTTGGAGAAAACAATGCTTAAATTCGATCAAGTAGCTCTGCCTCATTAATATCATATAAAATGATCAAATTTAGTTGCGGGAAATTATTGAAGCATAAATGAAGCCAGTTTCAGAGTTTTTGATCAACCTGATTTTTACACCAATAATGCAGCGCTTCAATTTGTACATCTGTCAAGTCTTATTTATGGCTTTTCTTTATCATTATTTTTCAATGCACATGGCCTCTAAGTCTAAAGTATGCAATTCTTATTTATTGATAAAAAGAATAAGATAATGGAAAAATTAAATGAATTTCCATAGTTTAAAATAAATCAAGAGACACTTTCTGTATACATACACAAATAAAATCTCTTGAGTAATACACCAAAAAGTCTTTGAGTTCGAACCCCTCCTTAGTTGGTAATATGGGTAGCTATTAGAGTTCTTACCCGGTAATTTTAAGGTTTTGAGGGATTAGTTGACGGTCGGTAGTTCCAGGGTTTCAAGAGATTAATTGATAGCCAGTAGTTCTAAGGTCTTGGGGGATTAGTTGGAGGCCGGTAGTTCCAGGGTCTCGAGAAATTAGTTGAGGTGTGAGTAAGCTAACCTAAACACCATTGGTCATTAAAAAAAAAAAAAAAGTTGAGGTACGCATAAACTAGTCTAGACACCCTAGTCATAAAAAAAAAAAAAATAATAATATATATATATATTACTGAGATGAATTTTAAGATCTTTAAAAGTTTAAAAGAGTTGGAAGAAAAATCCAAATTTTGATTAAATGATTCTGAAGTTAGTAGTTGAATTTCTCTGAGCTGAAGGTAACCCATCTTTAAAGGATTCATGGCAATGTCCATCTCCAGTTGCTATTTTGAGTCTGCTAACAATTCATAATAGAAGCAAGGTGATAGAGACTTGATTTAAATGCTTATTTTAAGTCCTCTTCACATCAAATGCAAAGCAACAAGATTTAATAAGCGTAATAACTCCAAAGGAATTAATTAGATACAAAAATTTAACTAATCAAAGTGTGTTTAATTTTCTGATTCAACTTCCCACCGACAAATCACTACTAACATTAAATTTTGGTGCTAAAAATAAATATGAAAATTTAAAAGAACTGGCTTCAGGTTTTGCCGTAACATGCATGGCTACACCAGTCATGAGATTCCTGAATCTGAGCCTCGTCAAACCAGTCTATAAATAAATGAAATGATTACAATTCTCTCCACATTCTTCTGCGGCTGCAAGACTTTGAATTTTGAAGGATGGTGATGGGGCTCAAAGTGTTGTTAATGGTGGTTTTTTTGTGGGGTTTTTGTTGCTTATTTCAAAATGTGAATGGTGAACTTGAGTTACAGTTCTATAAAAAGAGCTGCCCTGATGCGGAGAAGTTGGTGAAAGAGAAAATGAGAAAAAGCATGTTGAATGATCTTTCTACTGCAGCTGCGATTCTGAGACTGGCTTTTCATGATTGTCAAGTTGATGTAATTTTTTGCCTTTGTTGGATCATCATGGTTCTTCGAATCTGCATTTTCATGTTGATTTGTGATTGCTGCAGGGTTGTGATGGATTAGTTCTTCTGGAAAACGCTAATGGGATGACTGCATAAACATCTTCATACAGGAATTTCGGAATTCGGAAGCTGAATGTTATCAATGAGATAAAGAGTTCTCTTGAAGCAATTTGTCCTGAAACAGTCTCTTGTGCTGATATTATTCAGTTGGCTGCAAGGGAAGCTGTATATCTGGTAAGCTATATACATCGATTTCTGAAAACACAACATGGATTGAATTTATGGCCACTTCTCCCGACAAAATACGATGTCAGGAGAGGTGTTTTGTCTTTCCGGTAGAATTTTTACCTGCTGCGACCCAACCTTGGCGTCGCAGTAGGCCTGGATATGCTTTTAAGCCTTCAGGAAAAACTTCGATAATTCTTTCAATTTCTACAGTTCCATTTATGAAACTTTTGTGTTTCCAGACAGGAGGACCATATATAAAGGTTTTGACAGGAAGAAGAGACACTGTTTCTGCTAGCAAGGAGAGAGCTGATAAGCAACTTCCTGCAGCTTATATTTCCGTTGATGCATTCATTCAAATCTTCCGCAAGAAGAATATCAGTTTGGAAGATGGAGTTGCACTCATGGGTATATAGACAAAATTTCAGTCAAATTTCTCATTACTTTTGCACAATTTTATCGTTTACTTTAAGTACTCTGCAGAAGAGAACTGTGTGGCATGGCAAAGAAATGTAATCTGTCAAAGCCCTTTTCATGGTTGCAGGATCTCATACTTTAGGCATAGGCCATTGCAGAAACTTCAGGGAGAGGCTATGGCCAACGAGTGATCCCACATTGTCACCACCCTTCTCAGTTATGCTGCAAACAATATGCATCAATCCTGCATTATCCGACGTGTCATTTGCTCAGAATGATGCTACAATCTTCTCCTTTGACAACCAATACTTTATTGACATTCAAACTGGAAGAGGGCTGCTGAAGATTGATTCTGAGATTGCTTCAGACCCCAGAACACAGCCCTATGTAAGTGCATTTGGACACAACACACAACACTTCTTCAATAGGTTCACTTCAGGGTTCCTGAAGCTGTCAAATTACAAAGTTTTAGTTGGAGAAGAGGGAGAGATTAGGAGGGATTGCAGGTTTAGAAATAGCTAAAATCAAGTTAATTACTTTTAGCTGAAAGTTCATTCTTCTTGTCTATGATTTAATGCTACCCAAAAAAAAAAAAAAAAAAATAATAATAATAATAAAGATTTGAGCGGCTTTATGTGCATTGAATAAAATAAGTGAATTTGGATCCTCTTTTCTTGCGTTGAATCTCTTCTTTGAACTTAGAATTATAGCATGTGATCACTTAAAATATCAATTATGGCAGTCAATCATTATTATTTACAGAAGGACCTCTTAGGAGTTTAGTCAGATTATTTGGTCTCACAGAGTCTAAACTCTAAAGTTGGAGGCCCTAATAGTTACTTGCATAGTCAAATCGCCTTATTTGATCACTTATAATCAAAAGTTATTATTTTAACCCTACTTAGTAAATACGGATATGGCAAAAAAATGATACGAAAATTTTACAAATATGATACAGTAAATAATAAAAAATATGTTTGTAAAAATTTGGTCATAAAATTTAGATACAAAAAAAATACGATATAGATATATACGAATTTAATATGATACACTGTTAATAATACGTTTTAAAAAATACAGTAATTAAGAGAGATCTTTTTATTAGCATATTAACAAAAAAAATCCATGGTTTAATTTTTTTAGAAAAAATTAAATCATGACAACGCCTCTAATCACGGGGTCGGTGTTACTTTCTCAAATATTCTTTTGAAAAGAAAAAATAATTAAAATGGTAAAAAAATATGTGGACTTAAAATTGTGATTAAATTATGGTTGAGGCGTTGAGCAGCTTGAGCCTCTGTATTCTTGTTAATTTATTCAATTTCCTGATGGCTAAGAATGAAATAGGGAATAGAGTAGGGACACGTGGATGAATGGTCAAATTGACAGTGATCATGCAGGATAATGTGTTGATTCTATCCCATCATCGCGCCAACAGGTTAACACCATTGGCTTTTTAAATTGGATATTATTTCCCAGTGTATGAATGAGATTGGTGCATGAAGGAGCATTTTATTAATTAATTTTATGGAAATAAAAGAGGCGGGAGAAAATAACTCTTCTGTAAGCTGAACACATAAAGACCATTGAAGTGATTGATATGAATTATACTACCCAGAAGAAGTACGAAAGCGGCATTTATTTACAATTTTTTTTTCAAAAATAAGGATACGCGGAAATAATTCACGGATTATACGTTGAAGCATATAATTTACGAATTATTCGGTCACACTGATAACATATGAAAATTCGTATTTTGTATGCGGATGTAAAACGCAAATTTATTAACTAGGGTTTTAACCTTTAAAACAATAACTTTTGATTATAAGTGATCAAATAAGACGATAGAGGCTCTTAGGTGTATTACTCAAGAAATTTTGAGTTCCATCTCTCTCGATTACTAATAAGGATGGTTACTAAAGGGTTTATCTAGTACTTAACTTCAAGATCCTAAAAGATTAGTCGAGATACTTATAAATTGGGACCATTAAAAAAAAAAAAAAAAAAAAACAAAAGAAGTTCGATGTTTTCTGTTTCCCTGATGTTATTGGATTTGGCGAGCTAAAATTTCTAACTCAGATAACTTTGTCTTATATCACTTTGTTGAATTGGATTTGGGCCTGTTTTGGGGTTTTGAACAGTTTTACCTGGAGCATCTTAGCTCATACCTAACCCATTGGACCAAAAAAGCTAACAGTATAAAAATCATATATACTCGACAACCTCCAAAAGAAAATTCTATTTACGAGCAAAATATGGAATATGATTCACTGAAGATCATAAAATGGATAGGCTTATCCAGCTCTCATCCACATGGCACCACTTAAATGGGATTCCATATCTTTCAGAAGAATACCCATTTCGCCACGTGTCCGACTAAGATCCATGCAAAATATCAAAAACCCGAATATGGATATACTTCTCTGATCCTCTAACTCAACCACAACCTCCAAGAAATTTAGTCAGAAACAAAGCAACCAAGGCCAATGGCATCTCTAGCAACCATAGCTGCTGTGCAACCAGCCAACATTAAAGGCCTTGGTGGAAGTTCCCTTGCCGGAACCAAGCTCTCAGTCAAGCCAGCTCGCCAGAGTTTGAGGCTCAAAAACGTCAGGTTTGTACTATCATCTCAATTTTTGTGAGAAGCTAATTCACTTATCCGGAGGACAATTCAGCTCAATTTGGCTAATGTTTTGACTTGGTAACATGCAGAGCTGGTGCTGTAGTGGCTAAGTATGGTGACAAGAGTGTGTACTTTGATTTGGAGGATTTGGGTAACACTACTGGGCAGTGGGATTTGTATGGCTCAGATGCACCATCTCCATACAACTCTCTTCAGGTTTGTTTGATTTTTTCCTAAAATTATAGTTGTATGCCAAAACACTTAACTAAACGGGTGGTCTAACCAACTGAGCTATGAAAGCTTTGCTTTGAAGCTGCAGTGATTTCAACCATTTCTGTAAATTATGGCAATAGTATATAATAGAAGTGATTACTCAAAAACTATAGCAATGCTCTCTAGCAGTAGTTATTCATCTTAAATTGTGGTAGATGGTTATGTTAGGTCTTGTTAATTATATGACATTAAAGCAAGGGAATCTTTTATTTAATGAATGTATGATAGAACCAACTAGCGAAGTGTAACTTTTCGCGGATAGCACATGCAGTCCACAGTTCTGCTATGCCATGTTGGTTTAAGATTCTTAAACTGTAATAAATTTTTTTGCATTCTTACCAAGTTGATTAGAACATAGGTCTATTGTCCTGATTCTCTCCTGATTTGAGATTCATTCATGATTTGTTGTTAATAGAAAAGAATTAAGAAACTAAATATTTAAGGTTACTTATAGTTTACATGCATATGGAATTGCAGAGCAAGTTCTTTGAGACATTTGCAGCTCCATTCACCAAGAGAGGATTATTACTCAAGTTCTTGATATTGGGAGGTGGTTCTACCCTTGCATACTTCAGTGCAACTGCTACTGGTGACATTCTACCAATCAAGAAGGGTCCACAACTTCCACCAAAGCTCGGTCCACGTGGCAAGATCTAAATTACCCCATTTGTAAACTTTGATTGTATTTATCTTCTTTTGATTGTAAACTTGTAGGTTTCTCCAAATCCTACTTAAGACACCTATTATCTATGCAAATATATTTGCTTCAATTGGATTTCTGTGCCTTTAACTATTAACTCTTTGTTTGATTGTCACTTAAGTCTTTTCATCATTCAATTACTGACTTAAATTTGATGGTCTTGTTACATGTATGGAGAATAATGGAATTGAAATTCAGAATATGACCCTGGTCTCTTCCATGAAGAGTGAATGGAGTGTGAGTGTGATTCACAAACTTTATTTTCTGATACCAGAAATCCGCAACCTTTGAGTTTGCCGAGTTCTAAACTGGGGATTACTGCTACATATCGATTGTCCAGAAACATGAGCATTATAAAGTATAGACGAATGTGCTTAAAATTCTGCTACTGATAACTTCTTGTTATTAAGTCAATTGAAAGAAAAAAAAAAAAAAAACACCCAGAAAGCATACAACACTCAAACATAATCACAAATGATGATTACAGCAAGCTTGGAGTAATCCAAGATGAAAGTAATCACTGAAACACATTTCAGTAGCTATATATCTGCTAAAAGAGCCCTTAATTGTACAAGAAAAAAGCTCACATCTGAAAACAACAGTTTTCCTCATTCTTCTGTATTTACAAAAGAAACAAAATCAGAATAAGTTATCACAAGTTCACAGCTCATGAGGATTCCCCTTTGGAGTCCTGAGGTTTACATTTGAAGGTTAGGCTTTCTCACTCTTTCTTGTGTTTCCTTTTACATCACTTATCTCTCTTTCTGGTTTCAGTTTTTCTTTCTTTGATGGTTTACATTCTCCCCCTATGATTATTACTCAATGGCGTGCCGTCGGACTTCTTAGACCACTTAAGCTTTCAAGGTAAGAAATCCTCTTCTGAGTCACTATTGTTGTAAGTTTGTGTGTAAATTTTCCTTCACCTTCTTTGGCAGGTTCATCTGATTGATTTTCTGGGTCCTTCCTTTCTTCATTCTCACCTTGATCCACATCCCAACCCATAAAATCTAACAGTGTTTGTATCTTTGAATCTGAAGTGTTGTGTTCTATTAAACATTCTGTTCCTGTCAATTCATTATCTATTAAAGGATTTCTTGTATCATTTGCTTCTGTTGGATTTTTAGTGGCATAATCAGCATAAAGTACATCTTCGATTCGAGACAAGACTGTGTAGGCCAAACTTTCAAGTATTCTGGAATAACTTTCCAGGACTGCCTGCCCAACATCCTGTTATTTAAAGAACAAATTAGTGAAAAAGCTCTTTGAACATCATATAGCTATTGTTTTTGTAACAGGTAACAACACAAGTCTCTTTACCTTGTTGTATTGAATTTTGCTAATGTCTAGTGAAGATTGAGGAATTCCAGGGAATCTTTGTTTGAGGATGATTAAGATTGTCTCTGCTCTCTCTTCAAAGAGTTCTCTCTTCTCCAAGCTCACAGCTGAACCCCAAGCTGATTTTCCATCTTTTTGGTTCATTTTCCTCTTCCAAATCACTATGGAAGCCTCAATTCTATTCTTGAGGTCTAGGATTTTGTGTTCCGATGATAAGTCCATCGTGGAGAGGAATTGATCGGGATTGAAAAATTCAACCGTAATACTTCTATAAATTGAATCTCCAAGACTTGCCCTCCCATTCTGACAAAGCACCATATGAAAGTAGAGAGGTATTGATTTCAGACATGAATATATGCAACATTTTAGTAAGACTTGGTTCTGTTTTACTTACCTTAGGCAATGATTCTATGTAATTCTCAGGGATCTCCATTTCTGATAGAACTTGAGAATTTATGGCCATGGCAGCCTTAAGCACTTGGTTTACACAATCCTTTTGAAACTGCAGAAATTTTCTAGTCATTTCAGATAGACCTCCCTCGGGAACCTTAACCGTAGGCAGCCACCATTTATCATCTTTTCTTTTGTTGCCGCCTTTTTCTGAGTCTGGGGCATCTCTTGATACATAATTGAACTCATTTTTGTCCTTGAAATTGTCTAAACAATCCTGCACATTGAAGAATTATTGCTAATGAAAGAAGTTTTTTCCCGATGTGATCTTCATTGAACATTGAATATGCATATGCCTAAATGAACGGCAAGACAAATTAATGTACTTACAAGAAGCATTGCATCAAGTTTGCGCAACGCAGGGATATTCATGTGAAGATCAGTTCTTTGTCGCGTCACCATGATCTTTAAAACCCAGCAACATAAGATTTCATATCAACATTTGATCCCAGAAAATAAGAAAAAAAAAAATCAAGATCACATATAGTTTTTTAGGTACCTCCATATTGCTGCCATCCTTAGATTTCTGTTGAGAAGGAACAAATTCAACAATGTGATCAGCCACTGATAAGAGCCAATCGATTTCTTTCCTCCACTTAGCTTTGGTTTCAGCTGCCATGGGCTCTAGACGGTTTTGCTCGCTGAATGCAGAAGCTGCAAGGTTTGTAATGGCATTCGACAATGCCAAAGCTGATGAAACACCCTTTCCGCCACCAGACATATCCTCTCCCAGAAGCAATTTAGCAAACCTTTCCTTCATTTGCTCCATATCTAAACAAAAAGACATCAGGTTAAATGAACTATTCATATGACAGTATTCGGTAGTACTTCAAATTTTTTGAAATTGTACTGACCCTGTTGGAGTTTTTCCATATTTTGAGATGAATCCACAGTATCTTCCTTGCAAAGGCGAGACTTGGGAATATTGGGAGCTTCCACCCTATCAGTTCGAGTAATAACCCTACCAAGATGTGGTTTTTCAGGCGGAGGTTGATCGCTTCGAGCTTTTGAAGCAATCCTAAACAAACTCCCATCTTCCATTGCAGGATCTTCTAATTTACTAGCACTCTCAATGCTCAAACTCTTAGCATGTCTGCTAGCATTGTCATGCAGCCCTTTGAAATGAAACAATCTAGACCTATAACTTTCCTGCTCTTGTTCCAAGGCTCGAACCATGTTTTATTTAGCAGACAAAGGTTCTGTACTACAAAGAACAAGAACAGCTAAAAAAAAAACACAAAACCTGTCAAATTAAGGCAATGACACAAGGAGAGAATGATACAACATTCCAAGAAAGGTGAGGAAAAACCTCAAGACCCTCCTGCAAATTATTGCATAGAATGGAATTACAGGATTTGAGGGAAGATTTGAGAAGGAGATACTTGATTTGATAAATGTTTTTGTTAATTTGTTTAACAGAGTTGGAAGAACGTGGGGTGCATGTTTACAGAAAAGAGGTCGTTGAGACAGAACAAACATAGCACAATTCAAATTGTAATAAATTGGATGGTTCTTGTTCGATTTAGAAGAAGTCAAAGCTACCAAAATTTCAGGCTGGACAGCCATGATGTAAGCTCACCATTATCCCGCGATAAGATAGGTGGCAGCGCAGGACGGCTCCTAGATTATGGAACACACAAAAATTATATATAGAAGAATACCAGAATTTGATTTTCTTTTATTAGGATGTGTTATATATAGATCTAAAATTGAGAATGTCTTATGGTTTAACTCTTTGAAAATTGCAGCACCATCCGGATGCAAAAAAAAAATTGGTTTTTTATAACAGAATCAATCAATCATGTGAGATCATGTATGATTTTGAGTGATTGGATGCATAATTTAATAATATGATTTCGTTAATTAATGTTTTAATGTTTAAGAACTATTTACTGTATAGAAATTGATATAGGTCCAGTAGGAATCTTTAAAAAATAGGGTCCTTTTTGAAAATTAACGGAATAAAAGGGAAGAATAATATTTAGCTAATGTATTATATGCCGTCTCAAACGGAAACGACATGTCGTTTCGAAGGCAAACGATATACAGTAAATATCATTTTGGTCCACTAGAAATCGTTAAAATTAGGGCTTTTTTGATATTAACCGACCACCGAGAGAGATTAAATGATATTAATAAACACGACATGTCATGTCAAAAAGGTCGACATGTCATTTTGATGGAACACAAACGGCGTCGTTTATTTATAAAATGCAGTCGTTTGGATTAGCTAAAACGCGTCGTTGCGTTTTGAATACGTCGTCATTTATATGTAACCGACGTGTCGTCTCAAGCTTTCTCGAATGACATGTCGTTTTGGTATTCTAAAAGTTGTCGTTTATATTAATAAACAACATGTGTCTTTATGTAGAACGACTGTGTCCGTTTTAGAAATATCACTCCCCTGTGGTTCGATTAATGCAACATAAAACCCATATATTTTGTTTCTATGGACGTAAATGACAATAAGTATCCTTACTTTTTTTGGATAAGGTAAGTATGTAAAAAGACAAAAAAATATACAATACGAGGGGCATACCCCAAGAGGATGACTGATAACTATCAGTCAAGAACACGTGGGAAAACCCACAAAGTCATGAACAGCAAAAGAGAGCAGTAGGCTCCCACAAAGCAAGAAGATGCCATAAAAAAGCCACAAAACCGGCATAAAGAGCACACAGGCTCACCATAAACACAAAGCACAAACCGGCAAAAAAGAGCAGCAGGCTCACCACAAACACAAAAATCACAAACCGACACAAAAGAGCATGCAGGTCCCTTACAAAGCTAGTCAGGAAGTGCCATATCACACGGAGCTGAGGCGAGATCTCATACTTAGGTGCTAGACCCAAAATCTTGACCGAACTAGATCATAAATATCTAAGACAATATCTCTGCGGGAGCTACAATGCTGACGAAAACACGCGATTATTCCGTTCAAACCAAAGGAAATAAACTGTGGCTGAAAGGACTAACCAGGAAAGAAGGTGGCTAAAGTCACCTTTTCGTCGAAGATGCAAAACTAGCCCACTGAAGCAAAGGGAGCCAGGAGAGAGTAGGCCATGTAGAAAGCGTCCTGGTAGTGACCTCCTGCCAAACATAACTGGAAAAGTCACATCTGAAAAACAAATGGTCATGGGTCTCGTAGCTGATCTGCACAAAACACATCGGGAGGACGTAATGACACCATGAGAGCTGAGCCGATCCATGGTGTGAAGCCGCCAAGAGAAGCGAGCCAGAGAATGAAAGAGTGACGTGGAATATGCCCGGGAAACCACAGGAGATGATGAATCGAGTTCACATCTCGTTTGTCTCGCAACACATTCCAGGCTGAATCAATAGAGAACCGTCCAGATGGATGGCCCTTCCACACAATATGGTTAGGATGACTCACTGAAGGCTGCACTGTAATAGAGTCCCAGATATGCTGAAGGTCTGAACTGCCCGAAGGAAAGTCCCAAAACCACCCGAATAATGTCTGAAAACGAGCATCCCACGGCAACCCAGTGGAAGTCAAGGTTCTAAAAGGGAGCAAGTCACACAGAGGACCCTGCGGAAGCCAGTGATCTTGCCATAACATGGTGTCCCTACCATCTCTAATACAAGTCACAATAAGACCCCGGCACCAAACCTTACTAAGTAAAATTTCTCCAAGCCCATGAAGCCCCAGAAGTAACTCGGATATGCCAAAAGGACCGACCACGGAAGAGAACCGAATGGGCCAAGAAGACCATATAGAAGATCTATCAGAGTAAGTAGCCTCCAAACATGTTTGAGAATAGCCGCCCTATTCCAATCTTGGATCCTCTTAAACCCAGGCCACCCTCCGTCAATGGATAGCAAACAGAAGACCATGCAACCTTAGCACCAGAATGGGACAGAGAAGTACCCTTCCAAAGAAATGAGGCCAAAATACTCTCAATCCGTCTAACTGTAGTTGCCGGCAAAAGAAACATGGAGGACCAATAAACCTGTATGGAGAAAAGTACCGACTTTATCAACTGTAATCGGCCTGCATAGGTCAAAGATGCCGACGTCCATAGCCTAATCCGAGAGAGAATTCGCTCCAACAGAGGCCTACAATCAGAGTGTCGAAGGCGGGTAGAGATTAGAGGAACCCCTAGATATCTTACCGGTAACTGGCCCAGCTGGAAAACCATGATAGACTGTAACCCAATCTGCTCCTATCTGTAACTCCAGAAAAGAAACAACTGGCTCTTCTTCTGCATTGTCACTAATCCAGAAACCTTAGCAAAATAATCCAAGGCCGATTTGATCAAGCTAACAGAGGAAGCATCTGCTCTACAAAACACCATCAAATCATCTGCCAAAACACAATGAGTAATAGCTGCCTGCCTACATCTCCAATGATACTGAAAAACCAGGGCTGTGAGAGGTTTCCCAAAAAATACCAGCTAACCCCTCCATAGCCAACACAAAAAGGTAAGGAGAAAGAGGGTCCCCCTGCCGCACACCCCGGGAGGACCTAAAAAATCCGTGAAGCTCTCGTTCAGGGCAACAGAGAAATACGGTGTAGAGATACATGTCATGATCCACCTCACCATACGCTCGGAAACCCCACAGTACGCAATCCCAAAGGATGAACTCCCAACTCACAGTATCAAAAGTTTTCCGAATATCAACTTTAAGGGCACATCGAGGTGAAGTACCCCTAAGATGATAATTCCGCAGAAGCTCCTGAGTCAGCAGAATATTATCAGAAATCCTGCGACCGGGACAAAAGTGACTGGGAAACCCCAATAATATCGGAAGCACAACTTTAAACCGATTCACAATCACCTTAGTAATGCATTGTAAAGTACATTACAACAAGATATCGGCCTAAAGTCTGTCATACGACTTGGGCTCTCCACCTTAGGAACCAAAGTAATCCTGGTGGCATTAACACATCTTGGCTTCATTAGTAGCAAAAAAATGTCTCACGCAGCCCTGAAATCTGTACCAATAATATCCCATGCCCGCTTAAAAAACAAAGATGTGAATCATCCGGGATAGGGGATTATCATCCGGGATAGAGAATAAAGCAATCCTAATCTCATCATCAGTGATAGGAGCAGTCAATGGAGAAATCATATCAGGAGAAATGCGGCCAGAAAAAAACCTGGAAGCCTCGGCAATCTGAGGTCGACTAGGGGCAGTAAGAAGATCCTGAAAAAAACCCACCGCCAAACGCCCTAATCCCCGACTGTCAGTAATATGTGTACCATGGCCATCAGTCAAACCGTGGATCGATTCCGAACCTGCGATGGATCAAAGACTATGAAAGAAATTAGTATTCTGATCCCTAAGTGCAACCATGAACACGAGACCGTGCTTAAAAAAAGCCTCCTCATCTCGACAAAGACTGAAATACTGGTTGGCAAGGTTCCTCTCCTCAGAGATACACTCAGTAGAAAAGGGGTCCCGATCCAAATTTCCGGGCTGCTGCCCCACCGAGCCCGAGCCTCAATTACCCTGGTGGAGATATGACTGGAAGCCCGAATATGTAAAGCTTTTAGCTTCCATTTCACTAGCCCCAATTTCTGTGTAAGACGGAAGATAGGATTGGCTACAAGAGGCTCGTCCCAAACTGCCTGAACAATATCCCTAAAATTTGCATGATCAGCCCAAAAATTTAGAAATTTAAAAGGGGATGGTACCTTGCCACGGCGTGGACCAAAACGGACGATAATAGAGCTATGATCTGAAACATCTCGAGGTCGGAACTTGAAACTGTGCTTGGTCGATCAAGGAACCAAGTAAGTGATGCAAAGACCCCATCGAGCTTCCGTAAAATAAACCATCGCCCGTTGACCGTTATGCCAAGTATACCGAAACCCAGTAAAAGGAACCCATCAACTCAACACAGGATACATTGGCCAAAATCATCCATATAACCATACCACTCAGGATCACCACCCACTCTGTCAGAAGCTCCCAAGATGGCATTAAAATCACCCAACACAAGCCACGGGAGCCCCTCTGAATCAAACACTGCCGACTGATCCCTAAGGAAATCCCACAGATTGCGGCGATTCCCAGGGTCATTAGAACCATACACAACTAACAACTAAATATTGTAATTAAATTTGATACTTAACCAATTATGTAGGCCATACTAATAAGTTTATTAAACTTTATTTTTTATGTAATAAAATGTATTTTATATTTAAATTCCAATATAAAGAGAATATGAAATTCGACGGAACGACGCCGTGTTTAGAAATAGCCCTCTGCTCATTTTCTGGTTCACACACGTACAGCCACCAATCTGGAACGAATTTTTCCAAAAATACTGGACACAGAACGAATATTTGGTAAATCTAATAGAAACCCATCAAGTTTAACCAAAACCCCAACTGGGTTCATCTATTTTCTTCATTTCAATGGAGTCAATCGGTGTTCTGATAGTGTGTCCCATGAACACGTACTTGGAACAAGAACTTGAGAAGCGGTTTAACTTGTTCAAGTTCTGGAACTTTCCAGACAAGACCCAGTTCCTGAACACGCACAAGAACAGCATCCGTGCAGTTGTCGGGAATGCCACGGCCGGCGCTGACGCTGAACTGATAGAAGCTTTGCCAAAGCTTGAGATCGTGGCGAGTTTCAGTGTGGGGCTTGACAAAGTTGACTTGGGGAAGTGTAAAGAGAAGGGAATAAGAGTCACAAACACTCCTGATGTGTTGACTGAGGACGTGGCGGATTTGGCAATTGGGTTGAGTTTGGCTGTGTTGAGGAGGTTGTGTGAGAGTGATCGGTATGTGAGGAGTGGCAAGTGGAAGAAAGGAGATTATAAGTTGACTACTAAGGTTAGTGGTTTCTTTTTTTCCAATTACTAAATGTTAGTTTGGTTTTTTATTTTCATGGATTAGTGTGAAATTCTCTGATTTAATGTTCTGCTAGCATTTTTCTCGGTGTTGGATTTGATAAAGTTGAGAATTTTGATGTTAATTTTTAGTGTTTTTAGTGTTTAATTGTTAATTAGTGCTGAAACCATTTTAACCATATGAATAATGACCTTATAAGAACTAAAATGTGATAAATGTATAATACTGTAAAGAGTTGCTCGGTGATGTTGGTGGTGGTGGTAGTATGGTGACTTGTGGTGTTGAATATCCTTTTAAGCACCAATTGTGAATATGTGGTTTTGTATAGTGTTGTTGGTGAGGAGTTTGTTTTCATGGAGTACTTTTGTCAATTTGAGTTAGAGTTGTTCAATTCTCATGTTCTGCGCCTCATTCTCTGTTGTACTCATTGGCAGAGGGCTGAAATCCACAGAATTGGATATGCCCCTACACGCTGAGGGTAACATTTGAGTGTAACAGTGGCAATTGATCACATGATGATTTGGGAAACTGCAGAAATAATTTGAGGGATTATGTTTATACTGAGAAAAAGTTAATTGATATATTGGGTATTAGATTATTTGTTATTAAGCTCTGTTTAAGGGATTTTAAGGATTTTAAGCTTTGTTTAATAAGCATTGTTTATTTCTTCAACGTGTATTATCCAATTTGAAACTTCATGATGCATGAACTCCAATCTTTATTATTTGTGTGCTGACAAAATGCTGTTGCTTATGGCGTTTTTTACAGTGTGTTTGGCTCTTGGAGTTCTTCTGATTGTACCAATGCAGTGCATTTGCTTTAATTTACCTTTTAAAAATTACGGTTTTGAAACAATTATGATGAGGAGTAGTAGCCTGTATTATATGTGCACTTTGACAATGTGTTGTGTTCAATGTAGGTTAAGCAATTTGTTCCTAAGTGTAATAGTTGACAACTCATAAGCTGAGCATAGGTGTAACTGTGGTTGTTTGTTTGTTTCTTATTCTTGTCTGTTTGTAAAGTAATTGCTTTAGGGCTGCATTTGAGTAAGTTTCTTTTGGATGTTGAAAATAGTTTTATGACCAATTTGGTGCTTTTTCCTGTTGCCTTTATATAATTACTCTATCAGTGATATCATGCTAAATGCTATATTGGTTTGCTTAATTTATACTGCATATACATTTAAACTCTTTCAGTGCTTTTAAGTTGGTTAATGTGCTGTATTTGTTAGTTAAGATAAGGAAGTATAGAAGAGAAGTTCTCATATGAGGTTAATTGAAAATGCTTTGTAAGTGTGATGTCAGTTCATGCGNACCTCATTCTCTGTTGTACTCATTGGCAGAGGGCTGAAATCCACAGAATTGGATATGCCCCTACACGCTGAGGGTAACATTTGAGTGTAACAGTGGCAATTGATCACATGATGATTTGGGAAACTGCAGAAATAATTTGAGGGATTATGTTTATACTGAGAAAAAGTTAATTGATATATTGGGTATTAGATTATTTGTTATTAAGCTCTGTTTAAGGGATTTTAAGGATTTTAAGCTTTGTTTAATAAGCATTGTTTATTTCTTCAACGTGTATTATCCAATTTGAAACTTCATGATGCATGAACTCCAATCTTTATTATTTGTGTGCTGACAAAATGCTGTTGCTTATGGTGTTTTTTACAGTGTGTTTGGCACTCTTGGAGTTCTTCTGATTGTACCAATGCAGTGCATTTCCTTTAATTTACCTTTTAAAAATTACGGTTTTGAAACAATTATGATGAGGAGTAGTAGCCTGTATTATATGTGCACTTTGACAATGTGTTGTGTTCAATGTAGGTTAAGCAATTTGTTCCTAAGTGTAATAGTTGACAACTCATAAGCTGAGCATAGGTGTAACTGTGGTTGTTTGTTTGTTTCTTATTCTTGTCTGTTTGTAAAGTAATTGCTTTAGGGCTGCATTTGAGTAAGTTTCTTTTGGATGTTGAAAATAGTTTTATGACCAATTTGGTGCTTTTTCCTGTTGCCTTTATATAATTACTCTATCAGTGATATCATGCTAAATGTTATATTGGTTTGCTTAATTTATACTGCATATACATTTAATCTCTTTCAGTGCTTTTAAGTTGATTAATGTGCTGTATGTGTTAGTTAAGATAAGGAAGTATAGAAGAGAAGTTCTCATATGAGGTTAATTGAAAATGCTTTGTAAGTGTGATGTCAGTTCATGTGAGAAAAACTTAACTTTATTTTAATTTTTTGACAGTTTTGATCAGGATATAAACAGTTATGTAGGACTCGCTTTTACTTGTCTTAATGTCCCTACTTATCTGGGCTTTTAGCCGCCAAAAATTGGATACATATTGTTTTGTTGTGGATTGAAATAAAGTGGTGGAGGCTAATTCTACAGTAGTTACAGTATGCACTTGGTTTATCTAGATAGTTACATTGGGCTCAGTTCTGCATACGTTAGGTGTGATGCCCTGTTGTTCTGAATCCTAAGTGAAAGATGGCTCAATTCCAAGTCCAGTTCTGGTCAATTGGTGTTTGTCAATTTCTTGTTTCTTTTCCCTAAAAAACTTAAGAAAAAGAAGTGCTTATTTTACGCCTTTAATACTTTTTATTTAAACAAGTGAGATTATGTCTTTTACTCCAATTAAGATATCTTCAGTGTCTATTATGACTTAAACATCAAGTGCATTGTTGAAGTGAACAGTTGGTTGAGACTATCATTTCATAATCTTTGTTCTGAACTAATATTCTTAGTTCCAGCTGAAATTCACCTTTTCCTCTCAGTAGATCACCTCTGCTTGTGTTTCATTATTTCCTTCCCCCATGAGAGATCCTCTCAGCGCTGGAACATATAACCTTTTTTGAGTTAATAGAACTTGTATCAGTTTTTATCAGTACTCAACAGATTACATGCAGATCCCTTAGTGTGACTAGTATTGATGGTGTTGGTGCAATTTCATATATTTTGTTGGTAATTTTGCCTTCAGTTATCACATGATTAGTGATGCTTTTACAATGGATTTGTCTTGATTAAATGACTCAGCTATGTGTTTAGTGCTTTCTTTGCAATTTTTCTCTGTTCTTTTCACTTCTAATTGAAAATTTTTGTTCTTATTTATTTCAGTTCACTGGAAAAACAGTTGGAATTATTGGGTTGGGAAGAATTGGCATGGCTATTGCGAAGAGAGCTGAAGCATTTAGCTGTCCAATCAGTTACTACTCTAGAACAGAGAAGGCAGATTTGAAATACAAATACTATCCAAGTGTAGTTGAGTTGGCCTCCAACTGTCACATTCTGATTGTTGCTTGCCCACTAACAGAAGAAACCCGCCATATAATCAATCGTGAAGTCATTGATGCATTGGGACCAAAGGGAGTTCTGATCAACATTGGGAGAGGTCCTCATGTGGATGAACCTGAGCTGGTTTCTGCACTGGTTGAAGGCCGTTTAGGGGGAGCTGGTCTTGATGTCTTTGAACATGAGCCTTATGTGCCGGAGGAGCTGTTTGGTCTTGAAAATGTAGTCCTTACGCCCCATGTAGGAAGTGGCACAGTGGAAACCCGCAAGGAGATGGCTGACCTTGTACTTGGGAACTTGGAGGCTCACTTTCTGAACAAACCACTGATTACTCCTGTGGTTTGATTGTTTCATGAAGATGTGATTTCGAGATACTATCGGTGCCTCCATCTTGCCACTGCTGCACATTCTGTTTAAAGATGATTGTTTCAGGAACTTGCTAAAACATGTGTTGAACTTTTTTATGAACGAGATACATTTAATATCTTAATCAGCATGCTTTAAGTAATTTTTAGTTAGTTGCTTAGCTAATTATGAAATGATTGATGATGATGATGATGATGATGATGATGATGACAACATTTATGTTTTGATCTTCCCAAAATCAGTCTTAACTTTTCAGAAGAACTTGAGTAAAGCTTCAAAGTGTTCAAGTTATGGCACTTTGAATTATACTCCAAGAAAAAAATTATAATCCTTGGAATAAATATAAAACTATATTAGAGAAAATNTACCTTCAGTGTCTATTATGACTTAAACATCAAGTGCATTGTTGAAGTGAACAGTTGGTTGAGACTATCATTTCATAATCTTTGTTCTGAACTAATATTCTTAATTCCAGCTGAAATTCACCTTTTCCTCTCAGTAGATCACCTCTGCTTGTGTTTCATTATTTCCTTCCCCCATGAGAGATCCTCTCAGCGCTGGAACATATAACCTTTTTTGAGTTAATGGAACTTGTATCAGTTTTTATCGGTATTCAACAGATTACATGCAGATCCCTTAGTGTGACTAGTATTGATGGTATTGGTGCAATTTCATATATTTTGTTGGTAATTTTGCCTTCTATTATCACATGATTAGTGATGCTTTTACAATGGATTTTTCTTGATTAAATGACTCAGCTATGTGTTTAGTGCTTTCTTTACAATTTTTCTCTGTTCTTTTCACTTCTAATTGAAAATTTTTGTTCTTATTTATCTCAGTTCACTGGAAAAACAGTTGGAATTATTGGGTTGGGAAGAATTGGCATGGCTATTGCGAAGAGAGCTGAAGCATTTAGCTGTCCAATCTGTTACTACTCTAGAACAGAGAAAGCAGATTTGAAATACAAATACTATCCAAGTGTAGTTGAGTTGGCCTCCAACTGTTACATTCTGATTGTTGCTTGCCCACTAACAGAAGAAACCCGCCATATAATCAATCGTGAAGTCATTGATGCATTGGGACCAAAGGGAGTTCTGATCAACATTGGGAGAGGTCCTCATGTGGATGAACCTGAGCTGGTTTCTGCACTGGTTGAAGGCCGTTTAGGGGGAGCTGGTCTTGATGTCTTTGAACATGAGCCTTATGTGCCGGAGCAGCTGTTTGGTCTTGAAAATGTAGTCCTTACGCCGCATGTAGGAAGTGGCACAGTGGAAACCCGCAAGGAGATGGCTGACCTTGTACTCGGGAACTTGGAGGCTCGCTTTCTGAACAAACCACTGATTACTCCTGTGGTTTGATTGTTTCATGAAGATGTGATTTCGAGATACTATCGGTGCCTCCATCTTGCCACTGCTGCACATTCTGTTTAAAGATGATTGTTTCAGGAACTTGCTAAAACATGTGTTGAACTTTTTTATGAACGAGATACATTTAATATCTTAATCAGCATGCTTTAAGTAATTTTTAGTTAGTTGCTTAGCTAATTATGAAATGATTGATGATGATGATGATGATGATGATGATGATGACAACATTTATGTTTTGATCTTCCCAAAATCAGTCTTAACTTTTCAGAAGAACTTGAGTAAAGCTTCAAAGTGTTCAAGTTATGGCACTTTGAATTATACTCCAAGAAAAAAATTATAATCCTTGGAATAAATATAATACTATATTAGAGAAAATCTGATGCAGCCTGGAAAACTAGGAGTGGGAAGTGTTTATCAATTGGCATCAACCTCTTCCATTTAAGAACATTTGTAAATTCATGGCAACTCTAAATTTTTCCATATTGAACATGAAAATTGACATATACAAACTGCTATTGGATAGCCTAATAATAGTAAAAGAGTGAAGGAATTCAACATGAATTTTTAAGTTCGAGTCTTCACCAGACTTTAACTGAGGTGATTCGCTGAAATAAAATATATATAAAAAAATAAAATATATATAAAAAAATAAAATTGACATATACTAACCACTATTTAGTGCTGTGGTTTGATCGCACTTGGGAAGCATGAAGCCAACTTTTGATTGGAAAAAAATGGCGCTTGGTAGTGATGTGCCATCGTTAAGATGCCTTTTGAAATTAAATACGACAAAGAACATGACCAAACTTTCTTTTTTTTTAATGCCCGGGCCTGAAATAATGCTGCAGAAGATGACAAACACTACCTAGAATTACAAGACAACAAGCCGTGCAAAACAAAAAAAAAAAAAAAGAAGAAAATACATAACCGCTTCCACCGCTTTGAACTCAGTTCAGGTCAATTCACTTCAAAGTTCAATCTTCACTCTTATAGCACCACAAACATGGATAACTTATGTGTCCTGATGGTCTGCCCAACATCAACCTACATCGAAGAAGAGCTTGAGAAAAGCTTCAAACTGTTGAAGTTATGGCACTTTGAAGACCAAAACCAGTTCATCAAGACTCACTGCAACTCCATTAGAGCTATTGTTAGTAGCGGCAAAGCTGGGGCGAACGCGGAACTGATTGAATCCTTGCCTAAGCTCGAGATCATCTCGAATTACGGTGTTGGATTGGACAAGGTTGACTTGATTAAGTGTAAAGAGAAAGGTGTTAGAGTTACAAACACCCCTGATGTGCTGACTGATGATGTAGCAGACCTGGCAATTGGGTTGATTTTGGCTATGTTGAGAAGGATTTGTGAGAGTGATAGATATGTGAGAAGTGGGAAGTGGAAAAAGGGAGATTATAAGTTGACTACTAAGGTTTGTGCCTCTGAGAATTCTGTTTCTTAATTAACAATTTGTATGATGCTGATTAGTAGTTGAAATTTGTAACCGAGGCTTGATAATTTGATAATTTGCAGTTCACTGGAAAATCAGTTGGCATAATTGGTATGGGCAGAATAGGCACAGCAATTGCCAAGAGAGCAGAGGCATTTAGCTGCAATATCAGGTACCACTCAAGAACTGAGAAACCAAACTTGAACTACAAGTACTATCCCAATGTTATAGAATTGGCATCAAACTGCCAAATCCTGGTTGCTGCATGCTCCCTAACGGAGGAAACACGACACATCATCAATCGAGAAGTCATCGATGCATTAGGCGAAAAGGGTGTTGTTATCAACATCGGTAGAGGCCTTCTGGTGGATGAATCTGAGCTGGTATCAGCGCTAGTTGAAGGCAGGCTAGGTGGTGCTGGACTTGATGTGTTTGAACATGAACCCCAAGTCCCTGAAGAGCTTTTTGGCCTTGAAAATGTTGTGTTATTGCCCCATGTAGGAACTGGCACAGAGGAAACTCGCAAGGCCATGGCTGATCTTGTCATTGGAAACTTGAAGAATCACTTCAACAACAAGCCATTGCTCACTCCTGCTGTTTGATTGCTTGTTGCAAATTTAGAAGCATAATCTGATTGTTCTTTATGTTCTGATGATTATAGACTTCTTTATGTCCAGAAATTTGGCAATATTATTTGATGTTTAACAAATATTTGCAATATTGTAATAAGAAATAAAAATCAAAAGGGTAGGACTTAACTTCTATGAATTTACTTCAAAACCAACGTTTTGAGAAAGAAAAATTAAAAAAAAAAAAAAAAACAAAACCCATTTAAAATAAATTTTATAGAAAGGGAGAAAAAATTAACTAGAGGCCTTAAAAAAAAAGGCTAACTTATTTTAGGACAAACCCTTGATTAGGAGTAAAAGAATCATGTTACTTAAGGTTATCCCTAATCTTCTCTTTTTTTCATTCCTCGTGTTAAAGAAATGGAATCAAACAGAGATTAAAGAATACAAAGAAACTCACGTACGACATGCCCGTTTTTCCATCACTATTTAAGTTTAATCTAATTATAGAGAGATTTATCTATTTTTTGACACAAAACGGTGCGTTTCAAGGATCCAAAAGGACCAAAACCTGAAAACCTGTACAAACTGCTCAAGAACAACATACTTTCAGAAAACAAAAGACAAAAACATTTTTTTAATTTCTTAAAAATGGAGAAAATAGGTGTCCTAATGACCACCCCAATTTCCACATATCTTGAACACGAACTCTCAACTCGTTTCACTCTCTTCAAACTCTGGACCCAATCTTGCAAGTCCGAGTTCCTTCGGCAAAACTCAAGTTATATAAAGGCAGTGGTGGGCGACACAAAATGTGGAGCGGATTCAGATCTGATAGAATCACTGCCAAACTTGGAGATAGTGGCAAGTTACAGTGTGGGGCTAGACAAGATTGACTTGGATACGTGTCGAGATAAGGGTGTTAGAGTTACCAATACTCCTGATGTTTTGACTGATGACGTCGCAGACTTGGCAATTGGGTTGATTTTGGCAGTTCTGAGAAGGGTTTGTGTTGGGGATGAGTTTGTCAAGTCTGGGGAATGGAAAAGTTGTGAGCTTGGATTGAGTTCTAAGGTTTGTGATGTGTGTTGTTTTTGTTTTGATCATTGGTTGGTTCTTTTTTTATTGGATTGAAGAATGTTTGTTTGTTGTGTTACTTTGAAAAATATATGCTCTCTTAAATTGATGCAATTTTTATGAATTTGGTTAATGAATTTGTTGATAATGTGACAGACTTGTATAATCTTTGTTTTATAGGCTTTTATAAGGTTTTATTTGCACAATTTGGGAAATCTCACCATTAGTTGTCTTTTGTTGAGGGTTTGATAGCTTAAAGTTTCAAATATGTGAATCCCCTTTTTTGCAAATCTAATAATCAAATCATTTTGTAAGCTTTTTAAGTCTTAAGGATGATTTTAGCAATGATGGATTATTGTAAGTGTCATTAACAGGGCAGCGGTTATAGTAGGGTGGTGGATTCTATTCGTGGTTTATTTTTGTCATCAAATAAATTTACCTTAGCTTAAATAGAAGGTATATGGATTATAAATGAAGGTAATGTGAGATTATTGCATGATTATTGTCATAACATAGAGAATTCTGAATTTTATGATTCATTTTGTTTGTTCCTTCATTTTTGTACGAGCTCCTTTGATGTTTGTTTAACATCCAAGGGTGTGTTTGAGAAATATTGTCTTAGATAAGCTTACATAAAAATGCTTGGATATCGTTTCGGTAGCCAGAATGTAAATAAGATTGCTGTCCTGTCCTGCCAGAGAAGAAGACACATAAACCACTGTATAGGGAGTTCAAAGAACCATAGACCACGGAAACTATGTGATACGAGTTAATTTAGCTGAATTCATTTTATTTCTTTAAGCACTCCCATGTTGTTTTTGTGTGTATGTTTCAAATTTAATTATCTGTCTTCTGCTCTTTCAGTTCAGTGGTAAATCAGTTGGAATTATTGGTTTGGGCAGGATTGGATCAGCAATTGCCAAGAGAGCAGAAGCTTTTGGCTGCCCAATTAGCTACCATTCCAGATCTCAGAAATCAGATGCAAATTACAAATACTACTCAAATATCGTTGACTTAGCCTCCAATTGTCAAATCCTCATTGTGGCGTGTGCTTTGACTGAAGAAACTCGCCATATTGTCAACCGCAAAGTCATTGATGCATTAGGTCCAAATGGCATTCTCATCAACATCGGAAGAGGGGCACATATAGATGAGTCTGAGCTCGTGTCTGCATTGCTCAAAGGTCGATTGGCTGGAGCAGGACTTGATGTGTATGAAGATGAGCCTGAGGTTCCTGAACAGTTGTTTGGACTTGAAAATGTAGTCCTCTTGCCTCATGTGGGAAGTGACACTGAGGAAACCAGTAAGGCAATGGCAGACCTCGTGATCGGGAACTTGGATGCACACTTTAATAAAAAGCCCCTCTTGTCACCAGTGACATGATTGAGTTGGTAGGTATAAAAGTCTGAAGTAGGGATTTTTATCTTCAGTATTGATGTAAAATAGATCATAATTTTGCTGACCGTTATGTAGCTATTTGTCATTCCCTGGAAAATTGATGTATGATAATGATAAGTGGTTGTTAGCATTAGATGATAAACCTCCATTAATCCTCAAGAATAATATTACACCAACAACCTTCTCTCATAAATTTTTTCTTACAATCTTGACGTGACAATTTGCAATTGGTCAGTTTACAACAAATCTCACATTAATTGGACATGATTCAATTTCTGGACATGGATTGCTCTTTGATTAGTTAGTTGGCAACGGTCATTGGAGAACGATTTTCTGAGTTGGTTGCATTGTGGTACCATTAAATCAAGCCTTTAAAATACACTTCATTATAAATATGCTTTCTTGCAACATTGTAGCTATTGGGTAAACAATGACATATGTCGTTTAAACTCAAAAGCTGTTTCCTTTCTGGGTTCACATTTTGGTTTTCTTTAATTTTGTGATGAGAAATGTGATTACTGTTATACATTTCACAGTAAATTTGGTGTTGTAAGAAAAGTTTTGAAAGTGGTAGCCTAACATTAAACTCTGTTATTGGATCCTTGCAATTATTTTTAACAACCAAGTGAAGACAATGAAGATAAATTGAGAATGCTTATAGAAAATACAAGAACAAAACAAACAGAACATCATATCCATATATGGAAATGGAAAATGGAAAATTTGTACATGGCCATCAAGGCATTGCAAAAGTCTAAAGTCACATAGAAAATCCAAAAAAAACACATGTGGCCCAACGCCATGTGTGTGCCTCTGGTGTTTGTTCTTTTCTATTCTTTAGACTAGACTGCCCCATTAAAGATACATCCAAGAACTAACCAAAAAGACAGGAAATGGTAAAAGAAAGAAATTTGCAGTGCTTTGTTAACCTCAGTTTTCTGCCTTTTTCTACTCAACTTTTCCTTGCAACCAAACACATTTTGTACATCAATGTGGAGAGGATGGGGGAGAAGAAGACCCTTTGAAGATGAGAAACTTGAGAGACATTAATGTAAAATAGATAAAAGTCCCTTCAGAATGAGTGAAAAAACACCCAAACTTTGAACCCACCACACATTGCCATCCTCCTTCATATATCTTGTCAAACTCCTGCCAAATTTTATAATCCACAAAAAAAAAAAAAAAAAAAATCAGATAAAAATCTTTAGAAACTTATCCTTAAGAAAAAAGAACAAAAATCAAACTTCGAACTTCACAAGCTACATAAAATTGTTACCTTTTTAATATGGCCAGCTATAGATTCATATTCACAAACATCATAAATATCTAGAGCTTGGGAAGCAGAAGTCATGGCATGGATCTGCATCTTCACAGGCATATCAGTATCTTCAATCAAAGCTTTGCCTTCCAACATTTTCTCTCCTCTCTCTCTAAGAGAAAAACCACCCAGTTGAGATATGATATGAAACTATCCAATGTTGCTTTTGATCTTCAAAGTTTGAGGAACAACAAGATTCTCCCGAATATCTGTATTGCTTTTCAAGTGTTGAAAAGGCAGAGACTTTAAAAAAGGACAACCCCAGAAAGCCTCCCTCTCTTCTTCCAAAAGTAGAGGAGTGAGTCATCAAAATGATAAATATTTAGGCTTAGGTTGGCACATATACCAATTTTTTCTGACATTTTCCATGTTATTTTTACATATTCTCTCTCTCTCTCTCTCTCTCTCTCTCTCTCTTTGTTTGTGTCTTCTTCTTCATCCTTGGATAAAGATAGTAAAGAATCCAAAGATAAAGCTGATGAGGCTCCAAATAAGTCAAGGCTTTGTTGTATTTTACTATTTCAGGATATGTGTTATTCTTTTATTAACTCATTATGAGGATATTATTTTTTATTATTAGACTTTATCTCTTATTCTGGGGTTTTGCTAAAGAAATAAATTAAAAGATTTGATTAATTTTGACTTCCCATTTTTCTAGTTAGAGGAAAAATGTATAATTAAATAGATAAAGTTTTACACGGAGATATATAATAAAATAAGAGTTTGAGAATATTAAAAATTAATAAAAATAAATAAAATGATGACTTTTCTGATAATTTGGTGAGTGTCATAACAAACACTTTAAGTATTGTTATGTCTAAAAAGTCACACTTATGTCAGTCTAATAAATATCTTTTTGTACTAGCTGTCAATCCTATATCTCTTCAAAGATATTCATATCAACCCTATCTCATTTCAAGAGATGAATGGACGAGAGCCTTCCATGTGTCAAGGTAACTTGCAAAATACTATTTGCATTGAGTGCATAGGTGTATAAATTGACATTTCTCTTCCCGAAAAGAGAGGTTAGACAGATGAGAGTTAGACATAGATTTGAGTCTCATTTCATTATTTCTCTCGGTAATCAAAGCTTTTCTCCATTTTTGTATGCCTTATGGGCAATATCATAGAAATAGTCAGAGATCAATAAAATAACAGTGGCTGTAGGAGTCGCTTGTTTGAGCATCCGAACCACTATAAAAACCTCTCTTGTTAGCCTATTATTTATGTTTTCTGTAACATATATAATTTTAGCTCTATATTCAAATCTCATAGATCTATTACATGTAATTTCTAAGACCCTCTTAGCACTTTGCACGTGCGAGTCGTTGGCATCCAAAATCATGCGTCAACAGTTTGGTGGCCCATGCAGGTCTTAAACCTGCGTCCAAGTTCCCTGATGGAGTGCTTAGATCTCAAGCCCGAATCAGAATTCTCCAATCGCGTGGCCAGATAGCAGATCGCACGTGTTAGAGTTCTTCGATCGCGTGGCCCGATCTCAGATCGCACGCTTTAGAATTCTCCAATCGTGTGGCCAGATCGCAGATCGTATGTGTCAGAATTCTCTGATCGCGTGGTCAGATCGCAGATCGCATGCGTCAGAGTTCTCCGATCGTGTGGCCAGATCGCAGATCAAATGCGTCAGAATTCTCCAATCGCGTGGCCAGATCGCACGCTCAGGTCGTTCTGATCTTTGGCTTCAGATCGCTGATCTTTAGCTTCAAATCGCATGTTCAGATCGCTGATCTCTTGTTCTCAGATTGAGCTCTCAGGTCGAGCTTATTATGCTCAAGTAGAGCTCGTTATGCTCTGAGGTTGAGCTCGTTATGCTCTCAAGTCGAGCTCGTTATGCTCAGGTAGAGCTTGTTATGCTCTGAGGTCGAGCTCATTATGCTCTCAAGTCGAGTGCGTTATGCTCAAGTAGAGCTCGTTATGCTCTGAGGTAGAGCTCATTATGCTCAAGTAGAGCTCGTTATGCTCAGGTCGAGCTCGTTATGCTCAGGTCGAGCTCGTTATGCTTTGAGGTCAAGCTCGTTATGCTCAAGTAGAGCTTGTTATGCTCTGAGGTCGAGCTCGTTATGCTCAAGTAGAGCTCGTTATGCTTTGAGGTAGAGCTCGTTATGCTTAGGTCGAGCTTGTTATGCTCAGGTAGAGCTTGTTATGCTCTAAGGTAGAGCTTGTTATGCTTAGGTCGAGCTCGTTATGCTCAAGTAGAGCTTGTTATGCTCTGAGGTAGAGCTCGTTATGATCAGGTCGAGCTCGTTATGCTCAGGTCGAGCTCGTTATGCTTTCAGGTTGAGCTCGTTATGCTCTCAGGTCGAGCTCGTTATGCTCTCAGGTTGAGCTCGTTATGCTTTCAAGTCGAGCTCGTTATGCTTTCAGGTAGAGCTCGTTATGCTTAGGTAGAGCCCGTTATGCTCTCAGGTCGAGCTTGTTATGCTTTCAGGTCGAGCTCGTTATGCTCTCAGGTCGAGCTCCTACCAGATCGCAATTAGCTTCTAGCTCTCAGCACTCGATCGCGTCAGGAATAGTTCAAGCTCTTCAGTTCGAGATTGTAGCCTATAATGCAACAACCATTCAAATCAAAGAGCTTAGTTTCTGGAGCGCGATTACGCTCTCCAAAAACTGGGGGGCTTCTGTTATGCTTAAAAAGTCATGCTTATATCAGCCTAATAAATGTCTTTTTGTACTAGTTGTTAAGCCTATATATTCTCAAAGATATTCATACCAACCCTATTTCATCTTAAGAGATGAATGGACGAGAGCCTTCCATGTGTCAAGGCAACTTGCAAAACACTCATTGCATTGAGTGCAAAGGTGTATAAATTGGCACTTCTTTTCCCGAAAAGAGAGACTGGGCATATGAGAGTTAGACATAGATTTGAGTCTCATTTAATTATTTCTCTCTGTAATCAAAGCTTTTCTCCGTCTTTGTATGCCTTATGGGCAATATCATAGAAATAGTCAGAGATCAATAAAATAACAGTGGATGTAGGAGTCGCTTATTTGAGCATCCGAACCACTATAAAAACCTCTCTTGTTAGCTTATTATTTATGTTTTCTGCAACATATATAATTTCAGCTCCATATTCAAATCTCATAGATCCATCACGTGTAATTTTTAAGACTCTCTTAGCACTTTGCACATGCGAGTCGTTGGCGTCCAAAATCATGCGTCAACAAGTATAATGATTTTTTTTTTCATCTTTGGGGTGATTGGACCCGCTTGTATGCCCTCAACTAATCTTCAGGACTAATGAAATATTCTTAACCATCAACCAAACCCTTGGGATTTGAATACAGTAATTTAGTTGGGTATATAAATTAACGGAGTTTATACATATAACATATGTACAATGATGACTCAAAAATAAAATAAAATAATATGAATGACTTATTTTATTAATTTAATTTTTTTTTAAAGGATACTCATAAACAATTTGATTACTTAAATTTTATTAATAAGTTAATAAATTAAACAAAGGCCTTAAAGAGTATATTAAAGTGAATTGTTTTGTATGGACGTTCTCTAGTACTTGATCATCTGTTTAATAGGGTAAATAAATAAAAAGTAAACGACTTTTTCCCACCCAAGGTTTGTCTTAATGACACTTCCCCATACAAAAAGTTTTAAAATACCACTTTTTCCACCCAACGTTGATATTCCATTAATAGTCAAAATACATTACACTTTCTTAATCAACATTCGACGAGTTAATAGGAACCAAGGTAAAAGTATTTTTGTGGAGTGGAGGCCGAGGAATCGAATGATGATGACTGATTGAATATTCGCCGTAGAAAATCAACTAAGAATAGGAAATTTTAGCTTTGCAGTGGCTGACAATCGACGAGAAATCAAGTGCTGGAGTGAGAGGGTTTTTGTAAAGAGGAGACCGAAGATTCAAATGGTGGTGACATAAAGAATTTTTGCCTTCGGAATCAGCTTTCGGTTGTAACGCAATATTAACTTGAGGTGGGAAAGTGGTATTTTGAAACTTTCTTAGTAGAAAACATCAATAAGCAAACCTTAGGTGAAAAAAAAGTCATTTACGCATATATATATATACCCCATTTTTCTTTTTACACAAGTTTTGACACTTTTTGAATCATTAGATTAAGGCATATGAATGGTTAAGATTGTATCTTAATTATGGTTATAATTATATAATAATATGCGGTTAATTAAAATTGTCTTTGCTGTAAATGTTGATTTTATGAGTCCTAAAAACAATTTTGAGTATTGGGATATTTTCTCATTATATGAAATCTCTAAAAAAAATCCAATGATTATTACCATAATTTTATGGTTCTAAACAAAATCCGAAACCATATATGTTTATTTTTCAAGTATTTTCATAATCGAAAATAATATTTCAATCAATAAACATATTTTTTCTAAAAATTTTAATAAATTATAAAAAAAATCTAACATATTTGATGTAGATATAATATAAGATACATATTCTAAGAAAAATGTTTGTTATCCAAAATAATATTTCAACCAATACACATTATTTCTAAATATATTAACCCATAACAAACATCGTAACATATTTGATGCAAATATAAGATAATTAAATTATGAAATTTAATTTTTATTTATTATATTAAATTTAAAAAAAAATTTTGAGTAACTTTTCAAAACTTTTCATATACGGAGTGTAAACAATATATTTTTGCAGTGTGTAATTCTATGTGGTGTCTTTTTACATACAAATAAAACATAGCTATTTTGAAAATTAACTTTACTAAACATTCCATAACTTATATTTAAAGATGATTATTTCTACAATAGAGAGATTAAAATAAAAATTATATTAATCCCAAACTGTCCTCACTCTTTAGAACTAAGCCTCTCTTCCACATAGATAACATCATTGTATCAAAAACAAACTTAAGCATTCTCAATGCTCATTGGGAAACACCAATCAAGTTGAAACTTTATAATTCCTAAAGGAAGGATAGACCAAGGATCACTCAAATTATTTGTACTCAACAGCTTCATCAAATTATCAACATCAATCAATTTCCTATCGTTAAGACGTAAGAAGCTTCCGACCTTAATATCCTTTAAATAGTGCCGCCAACATTTGATATCATGAGAACTGCAACATCCCTATTCTTCAGTTCATTATAGAATGACTGAAATTCAAACAAATATCAAATAATTAATTCACTTGAAACTCTTTCCTTGGACTTAAATGACTAATCGAAGACAATCTCTGATCATATAATGGAAAAGAATATATTAAGATGTTGTAATTACTCTTTTCTAAAGTTAAATTCCATTTCAACAAATCATCTTATGGTTGTTACAAAAAAAAAAAAAAAAAAAAAAAAAAAATTACGTACCTCAAATACTTGGTGCTGGTGCTTGAAAGAAGTTGTTTGCAAAGACAAAGTCCTAGGATAACAAATCCAAAGAAGACAATCCAAGAAAATCCTATATTTTAACGTGGCATGTATAAATGTAACTCAAGATTCCCAACATTACAAAGGGGTGATGGAAAGCTTTTCCTGAATTCTTCTAACTTAAAAGAACTCTGACAAATCAAAAAACAAAGCAAAACAAAACAATAAGTGGTTGAGAAGGATCATAAACAAAAGTAAATAGAGTAAAGTGAAATATTAATAATCAGTTATATGGAATTTATGCACATACCACAGTCGTGTTACAGATATCCTTAGATCTTCAATTTGATTGGATACTCCTAGAAATTCCCTCAGTTTTAGGCTCCATTGAGTGTCAAACGTGACTTTAGCTAAACATTTAAATTGCCATGGACATAATGCATTTATGTGCTAAGTGGGAATGGGACCATACTCGTAAGTAAAGGAAAGTAAATTTGGAGTATCAAGGTCAAGTGCCTTCATATCAAGACAACAAGTAACTAGGAACTTCCTAAGCTGATTACTTGAAATCGTAATACTTTCAAGGAAACAGCAATACACAAGGATCAGATCCTCGAGCATGGGAAAGCTTGAGATAATATGATGAAACTGTTGGTCCGTAAGATTAACGTCCCTAAAATAAAAAAAATTCAACTGTGAGCACCCAATAATGTTAAACACTCTTGAGCACCCAATAATGTTAAACACTCTTGACATTCTCTTTGCCAAATCTAAGGTGTAACCCTCGAAGATTTGGAACAATAATCTCAACAATGTTAGAACTTAAGTCCAAGGGAGAGCCCAACCGAAAAGATCGCACTGATAGGTGGAAGAGTCCCTAGGGTTAAGTACCACACTTGATGGGTGTGAATGTGGGATCCTAACAAACAATCTCAACACTTTCAATTCTATATGAGGAGACACTCATTATCTTCAATTTGAGAGATTTAAAAACACACAATCGCTTCAAACCCCAATAGTCCCAAAAAAAAAAAAAAAAAAAAAAAACACAATTCTTCAAGGAGAGGGCATTCTCTACAAAGGTTTTGGACCATCTTTTCATTTATAAAAACCTTGACCAAATTTAGCTTTCTAAGAGAATAAAATCTGATAGTATATGAGATATTCTCCAACTCACAAGTAGTTAACCTTAAAGTAGTAACTATCTAGCAGAGATGGTGCATCGCCACTTGTTAAGAATTCTAAACTAATCTTTTTAACCTCCTTCTCAGAGGCCAATCCTATCCATTTTTCAATATAAGGAGCCGATTCTTCAACATCAAGAATACTTATGACTAGCGTAAATTTGTGCATACAAAACTTGAGCTCGCAGAACTGAAGCAGAGAAGCATCAACAAATTCTATAAATTCTTTCAAACGATCACAGAGTGTCGATCTGTTCCCTTCAAACTCTGATATAATTTGATCACTCTCATCTTGAGCGAGGAAATAAGTTTGATCAAAATCAAAGATAGAGAAAGATATCCATAACTGATTCCATCTCTTAGACAATATGCTAATTTGAGCTACCCTTTTTGTTGAGAGGTAGGACATAATTTGATGAATTATAAAAGGAGGCAACCCTGAAATTCGATCCACTATCTTATCCATTATCTTCAAATTTGTAATATAACAATTCTAAATTTTCAAGCTAAACTCTTCTTGGACGAAAATTCGATTAAAAATAAAAATATTTAAATACTAATTTGAAAAATTGACCATAATGTGATAAAATCAATCAAGTAACAGGTTAATCAAATAGAAGAAAAACATAAATAGGGCCTTCCTCGGAAATTCGATATAGAACAACAGTGTTGAAGAATTGAAATTTGAACAGTGTTGAACAGAAGAGGATGTCCGCACCGTCTAGGTTTAGGAAACAGAAGTTGGCCCAAATTTTAATGGATTTTGACACAAACACAATAGAAGGTGAGGAGACAGAAATGGAAGAGAAATCTTTCAACACTTGCATTTTATAGCAAGTTTACAATACCTAAAATACTTCATATTTGATGAAAGTATGTTCTTTTTTAATTTTTGATTAAGTTTGAAGATGAGGTTGAAGGTCGAAATATAGGTTATAAAAGTAAAATAAATAAATAAATTTGGAATCAAAGGAGCGGGTTGAAAGGTAAGTATAGCTATTGTTCACTAGAAAAAAAGGTCAAACACATGAGGATTAGGATCATATTTCCAAATTCCGAAACTAGTGAATGCTAATCGAAAAGGTCAAACACATGGAGTTTCCTATGAAAAAACTTATATAAAATAAATAAATAAATGAAATATATAAATAATGTCGTGGAAACTATCATGCAACCTAAATTTTAAATAAATAACAAATTCTCCTTGAAATTTCAGAAATAATAAAAATCCCTTAGTCATTTGTGTGCCTTAGTGTATCGTTAAAATTTATAACATGATTTTTAAGTTCGAGTCCCCTCAGACACTAATAATAGGGGTGACCACTAAAGAGATTTATCTGATCATTCACTTCAAGACCGTGGAGAATTAGTTAAGGTGCGTGCAAACTGACTGAATACCCTCAGTCACTAGAAAAAAAAAAAAAAAAAATCATGACATAATGAATTTATAGGTACTTACCATATTAACCGTCTACATTTTATTTTAACACCAAAAATTTAATGATAGAGGGATTTCCGTTATCACTATAACTTTAAGAAGATTTTCTTATTTGATTATACCTCAAGGGGATTATTGTTCTAATATGAAATTCGATCGACTATATTTTCCATTTTCTTACAACTCAACTCTCAATCTCTCTACTCCAATTCTCCAATTCTCTTCAATTCAATTTATATTTACATATGTTCATATTATTCAATTTTTTTTTCATTTTTCAATTTCATCTATTATGTATATTATTGTTCAATTTCTTTCATTTTAATTATTTATTATTTTATTATAAATTTATAATGGATTCCAAAAATTATGTATTCGGAGGATCATCCCCAAATGAGTTTTACGTTCTATCTATTGAATAAATTGAAGGGTCAATCCATTTTCACCATTTCAAGAGGCTGCAACTTCCATTCCACAACCATTAACGGTTGGGATGGGGTCTAGCCAAACACAAGCGAGCTACAACTCCACAGCCCGACTGTCAAAGAGGATCGTGTTCGGGGTATGACAATTCTTCACCAAATCAAAACGGCCAAAGCTAAATGGGTTGGGGGAAGAAACATGCGGGGAATGTAATTTTTGTTCAACCGTTATTAGCGCTGAGAACGGGACTTCAACAATGCGGCAGCACTTGGAGAAGAAACACCCCCAACATGTGCAGCAATCCCACCAGTCAGTTCAAGTTCAATCGCACCAGGTAGGCAAATTCAAACTCAACTTAATTTTAATCCACAATCCTCAACTCTCTCAACATGGAAATACAATGCACTCACAACATGAGATGCAATAGAAAAATTCATATGTTCTCCATCTGAAAATCCTTGTTTTGTTGAATTGATTAAAAATGTTTTTTGTCCAGCATTTACCCCTATTAGTAGAGGTACAATTAGAAGGGACATAATAAAACTTTATGATAAAATAAAAAATCAACTTAAAATAGAATTTCAAAATTTTAGGTTATCTCTATTGCACTTACTTCAGATACATGCATGGGCTGCTAGATCAAAAACAGATTTTTTGAGTGTCACAATACATTATTTAGATTATGGTTGGCATTTACAACAAAAATTGATAAGTTTTAAAGCATTATATGAAAAACATAATGTTGAAACTATTTATTTTACAATTCTTGAAGTTTTGCAAGAATATTTATTATCTGAGAGAGTTGTGGCACTAATGCTTGAGAATGTAGCTGTAAACACTTCGGCAATTTCCTTATTTGAAAAGAGATTGGATCCACATAGTGAAGGCAAATTTTTTCACCAGAGATGTTCTTGCCACATCATCAATTTGATTGTTAAAGCAGGTTTAAAAGCTATACATTTGAGGATTGAAATGGTGCGCACGACTATCATATTCATCATCGGTAGCAGTTCAAGATGGATTGAATTTCGCAAATATTGTCGCCAAGAGGATCCGCCGATTGAACCAAAGAAGTTATGTATGTACATGCCTGTCCATTGGAACTCCACGTACTTGATGTTGGAAAAAGCTATATTAATCGCAAGACAAATTATAGAGTTTATTAACCGGAAGAACTATTTGGAGGACGTCATCAATGAATCCGATTGGACGGTTTGTGAACTATTTTTTTTTTCATTTCTGAAAGTTTTTTACGATTCTACAAATATATTAAGTGGTATTTAATATTTATCCTACTACTAATGTAGCATTAGATATTTTACTTTGAATTTCTACAATTTTTGCTACATATAGATATAATGAAGATTTGCATGACATTGTTGTTCCAATGGAAAAAAATATATCGGAAATAATGGTTAGATATTTCATTCTTATATGGATTAGGTCTTATTGTAGATCCTAGTTTTAAATTAAGTATATTTAATTTTACGGTTCTTGAGATAGGCCATAATTTATAGTTCTTATTTGATAGACTTTAACAGAAAATTGGAAAGTCTTTTTTCTTTGTATCAGACTAGGCACATTGGAGAGCCTAGCGCCGGTAGAGATGAGTAGTAGAACCCTGATGAAGACCAAGGATGGCAAGGAACCAGCATTTGAAGGTTTGTGGAATGTTGCAGCGATGATGGTGGAAGTAGCTACTCGTATAGACAACTTGGACCAAATAAGTTGTATCGGTCCCTATAGCCCAAGTGGCACGTGGCATTTTATCTGTGTCAGTTTCGACAATTGCATTCGAGTCAGTATTCTCAATTAATGGCCGCATTGTTGAAGAGAGAAGATGTTCTTTAACCAATGAGATGGTTGAAGTCATAACATGTTTACGGGATTGGACTCATGCGAATAGAAGAGATCAGTAGCATCCTGAAGATCTTGAACTATTCAACCTTTGCAGAAACACAGATTTGGAGAATATAAATATTGTTGACGATGTAAATTAATAATTTAATAAAATCAAATTTATTTAATTGTTTATTTGTGAAGTGTGATTATGTGAATATTATATTTATGTTAAAATTAAATTATTATTATCTCCTTAAAGTTTAAATTAAAAACACCATAAATTTATAGCCAATTAAGAATTAAGTCATTATTTATTAACATTTAATCATTCATTTATATTTAATTATTAATTAATCAAAAAATTTACAAATTACCCCTAAAAAATTACATAAACCCCCCTATAATTTTTATTAGGTCCCTAAATAGATAAAAAATAAAGTGGGGGTAAAGAAGTGTAATTATGGGCCTAGGACCGGTCCTAGGGATGGGTCCGGGCCCTGAAATTTTTCATGGGCTTGAGGCTGGGACGGGCTTGGGACTGGTCCCAACCCCAAGAAAGACTAGTCCCAACTGGGCCCAAGCCTAGGCCCTAGGCCCTGTTGGGTCTAGTCCCTGCCCACCTCTAGTCCAACAAAACCATTAATATTCTAAACCAAAAAATAATAATATTAAATTGCAATAACTTACTTAAATGTAACAATTTTAAGCTAATATAAACATAAATTAATACAAAAATACATACTTTTTTTTTTTTTTTAAAAATAGTGACACTAGATCAAGATTTTTGAGAAACAAACAATTTTGAGTAAATAATCAAAAGAACCCAAAAATGCTTAAAAAGGAAGGGTTCAAATGGTCACCTGCGACAGAAGAGGCCTTCGAAAAATTGAAGGGGCCTATGACTAGTGCCCCTGTTCTTGCACTGCCTGATTTTTCAAGGGAGTTTATTATAGGGTGATGCATCGGGCTCTAGAGTTCGGGCAGTTCTGAAACAAGATCGACCAATAGCTTATTTCAGTCATGCAGTCCAAGGGAAGCACCTTTCGTTGTCTACTTATGAAAAAGAAATCCTAGCCTTGGTATTAGCAGTTCAGAAAGGAGGCCTTATCTCCTTGGGAGACAATTCATTGTTCGGACAGACCGCCAAAGCTTAAAGCACTTATAGGCCCAACGAATAACCACAACAGCCCAACAAAGATGGCTCTTCAAGTTGATGGGGTTTGTCTTTGTCATACAATATAAGAAAGGTAAGGATAATATTGTTTATATTGTAGCTGATACACTCTCCAGAAGAGAAAAAGGTCACGAGTTGCAAGGCAAGCTTACTGCATTATCAAGGCCAATTCCAAATTGCTTGGAGGCAATAAGAAATGAAACACAAGATAATCCTGACTTGAAAAAAATAGTTCAGTTGGTGTTACAAGGTGAAGCTGTTAGGCCTTGGCGATTCCAAAACGGAGTATTGTTTTTCAAAGATTGAATCTACTTGGCAGAAAATTATGGATTGCTCCACTCCTTCATTAGTCAGTTTCACAATAACACTCATGAAGGTTTCCAGAAAACCCTTCATCGGATCAAATCCAATTTTTATTACAAAGGGGTAAGGGGAAAAATTCGTCAATTTATAAAGGAATGCGATGTATGTCAATGGCATAAGGCAGAACAGACATCCCCAGCTGGACTTCTACAGCCGTTACCCATACCAGATAGAATATGGGAAGATGTTTCCATGGACTTCATCATGGGGTTGCTGAATTCAAAGG